CACCTGTGTTTCTCTTGACCATGAAGCATACTGTAGGTTGGTGGGCAGGAAATCTGAGCCCTCAAGAGCTTTTTAAAATCGGATGTATACGGACGGAGACAGAACGGTACGTACACATACTTCTCCTTCTGCGTCTCTAATTTGAAGATATGGACTGTCTCTGTGTTGCTGGAGGCCGACAGGTACAGGCCTTCCATACTGAACGCCAGTGAGCAGATGCTCACACACCTAGGATAAGAAGCACAAATGTACGGGGAAGTGCAAATACACAGTACACACAAACACAGATACAGAATCATGCAGTCATTCACAGTAAAACAGCTTTTATTTCTGAATAAAACAAAACTGTAGTACATCAATCATCAAGTCATTTACCTCTTGACTCCTCTTCGAAACTCAAAGAGCTTCTGTCCCTCTGGGATTGAGAAGACACGAATGACTGTGCCCTGAGAGGGAGTGAAAGATACACAGATGATAAAAACACTTGGGAGGGGAAGCAACAACAGGGATCTGTATTTGCTCAGCCGGAAAACAAAAATCACACACAAATGAGCCACACAGAGAATCAGCCAATAGACTGTACACTAACTCACTGCCTTACCTTCTCCGAGGCTGTGGCCAGTTTGGTTCCACTGGCATCAAAAGCTAGAGCTGCTAATGGGCTGTCGTGGGCTGGAATCATATTAGCCGCTCGCTGGAAAGACAAATAGAGACACAAGTTAGAGATGTACTCCCTCAGAAAGACAAAGGGAAACACTGGCTGTCAGAGCAGTGCAGACAAGTTGTGCAGGATGGAAAAACAAGGAAATAAGAGTTGGGGGAAAAAGATGAAGATAAATGTAAGGACTTTATTAAAGAACAACAATGAAAGGCGGACAGCTTCACTGTGTCTGTGTTCACCTACCAGGTTGACTGTGTCAAACACTTGAACTTCTCCTATCGTAGCACTGCCGGGGTAGGCCAGATAACAGTTGTCATTGCTGATGGAAAGGGCACACAATCCTGGAGAACAACAATTACCAAAAGGAAGCCAAAGAAGGAAAGTCAGACACCAACAGAACCACATTTATCTGAACCAGACAATAAGTGAAACTGAAAGAATGACACATAGTGACTACAATGATCTAAATGTTTATGACAGTCCTGGCAGCATGAGTGGGTTTTTGTTCTGTGGCTGTATTAAATACACAAATATCACAGAAGTAACTCAGATCTCGGTGACAGTTTTCAGCCTTTAGGGCAAACAGCAAACAAAATTGAGTTAATTGTGAACCAAAAATAAACTGATAAAAATAAAAGAGAGACATAAATCTCCAAAAACATCACAGGAACGTCACAACCCTGGTTTCAGTATGAGCACACAGTGTATTGTATAAGAAAAATACCCTATTTTAATACTGTTCTACCAACTTTACTATACACACATTACACTACAATGAGACACAGCTTGTCGCTCTTCAGACTCACCTGAAGGGTTGGGCGGGGTTTCTCTGATAGTGTGCAGCACTTTCATGTCTCGGATGTTGTGAATGTAAAGCGACTCCTCCAGACACACTATCAGCCTCTGCAGAGGAACCACAAAACACAACCCAACTATGACAGCTGCACAAGACCAATAAGCCTGGTTGGCTGGATGTTTGATGAATATGTGACGAGGTGGACTGACGCTGACAGGCAGGTGTTTCTTTGCCCTCGTCTTCTTACCTGTCTGTTGAGTTTGACAGCCAGTATAGTGTTGGAATAGGAGTAGTTGCAGATCTCGGTTCCCTTCTTGAAGTGACAGACTTTGAGCTTCCTGGGCGCCTTCAGGCTGACGATGGCCACCAGGCTGCTGGAGAACAGACGCTCCACAATACACACATCCTCCGTGTCCGCTGCAGACACAGACACAGACACAGACACACACACATCATCACCTCAACTACAACGTTCACTCTGTGGCATCCTTTTATCTTTTATTTGCTGCCTGTCTGTGAGCCTCGTGGTGACTATTTTAAAGAGATAAGGGGGTCAAATGGTGCAAATGAAAGCGCCACATAATAACCACATTCAGGCTGTAAGCTGATTCACAGAAGAACACAATGGGGCTGTTTGGGGCCTTTGTGTGAGTTCTGTTGTCCCTGAAGACACCTGCAAAACTTTAAGCACACTGTGTATGAATGGATCGAGCAAAAGCTGGGTTCATGAATTATATATAATAGGCCATCTTGAGCACTCGTTGTCTTCCTCTGACTATACAACTAGAGCCTCCCACTGCCTGCTTTGCATTGGGCTATTCAAATTTAACAAGACTATCAAAAGGTTTGCTCAGCATACACTGGTAGTTACCCGGCATATGAAGACTGTTTTCGAGGTTGTACTATACTTTATGTAAATGTTAATGTGGGTAAAGTGCTGACAAAGTTTATTAATATTTAAAGGAACAACCCCACTCTAATGGTGCAGTGACTGTGTTCTGTCTAGACAGCATGCATTAAACACAATAACTCAAAATTGTGTCAATAACAAAAAATATGACAGAGTAGTGCACTTATTCTACTTGATCTACAATACTGTTATTATAGAACAAATAGCTTTAAAACCCAATATGTACACACACAAACATGTTACTACTCAGTCAAGTGCACACCGGTAGGGTAAAGAGAGAGAGAGCTTGGACAATACTTACTACATTCATATATCTGCTCCAGTTTGTCCACAGAGGACAGGGAGAAAAACTTGTATCCTGATTTGGTGCCAACAGCTAAGGACCTAATATAACAGAAATAGACACAACAGCTGCTTTCAACAATAGTCGCAACACCAAGATATTACACACACACACACACACACACACACACACAGACACTGAATATTAACTCCAGTTTCATTATTACACATTGTGACAGTGGTCACACGACTGGAGCTGTTTTGCAATATGAGCAGGCCTCTGTGGTGTTGAGTAGTCTCCAGTAAACAAGCGGACAACCCCACCGTGCACTACAACGTCAGATACTAGCTCCACGTCTCACACTGAAGTCTGTCTGTAAGAGACACAGTGACCCAGTTTGAGACTTTTACAGCGTTATCACACAGTCCTAAACACACAGACAAAGATCCCATCAAAACAACAGAAACCTAAGTTATGTCTATGACAGTCAGTAACAAATATGAATCATAACAATCGTCACCGAACCGTCATGTGTATTGTGGCTAAAGTTAGCCTCGGACCGCACAGCATCATGTCAGCTAGCTAGAGGGCTATGCTAGTGACGGGGGTGAAACCACTCGCAGTGTTAACGGGGCAGTTTCGTTAGCTACGGCTACAATCAACCTACTGATACCGGTAGTCACTGCTAACGCGAGGAACCACAACCAGGCTGCTTCACGTCGAGCCCTGTCACCCCGAGAGGTGTCCACAGTGAGCTAGCTAACGTCAGCTAGCTTGACAGCACAGGCCATCGGATCCCCAGACTCTATCCCCGGCCCTGCCTTACGTGTTATCCTGGTTGAAGTTGGCGAAGAGGAGCTGGCTTCCGCCAGCATCCCCGCTTTGACTGGCCAAGTTCATGGGCTCGGCACCATCGACATATAATGCTCCGGTAGAAATAGCAGCAGTTCGGCTGGGATTGCTGCTGTGATAAGGGCCAGAAGTGTTGTGCTTCAAGGAGCCATCTCTCTTTCCTAGCCTTGCTGTAGTGATTGTTGTTGTTTTTCATTGGGGCTGTTGCTCCCCCTTACTGCGCATGCTCCGAGGACGCAGCGTGCTGTGCCGTTAAAGAGCCAGGGCCGTTTTGTGAAGTGCAGTCCTGATGATATAATAATGTAATCCTATCTGATAAGACTGGGGATGGTATTCTTGATCTGATATCTCGGCTCCACGGGAGGGAGAAAGAAGGAACAAACTCTCCTGGAAACGATCCGCTGTACTGTTACTACCCTTGAATTGATGTAACAGCGCCCCCCAGCCGTCGATATTGTCATCTAAAATGAATGTGCGAGAAATGTATGACTGGTGTTTTTTCAAGATATCGTTGATAATACAGGCTCCATTTTATCCAGTTTGTGCCGCACAGCTGTCAAAACAGCTCTTAATTATCTTTATTCAAATATATCCACTTCTATACTATAACACCGTTATATATTTGGTGACCTAAATATACTGTTTATTATGAATTGACAACATTTTACTCCTGAGCTTTCAGTTTCTATTTTGTTCTATTCTTTCTGAAGTTAAGCAGACTGACTCCAAGATAATCACAAATACTCCGTTGCTGAGTTTCATTTTGATCCTGCTCCATGAAAATTTTTTGTGTGAATGAAAAAAGCATTTTGTTACTCCTGTCCTTTTGTTATGCCGGTCTGAGTTCATATAAGGACTTTCTTATCTCTTACATATCCCTATCTGAAGGCACATTATATAAAGATCAATTAGAGTTAAAAATCTCAGATCTGTCAGTTAATAATATTACTAGGAAAGTATCATATCCTCTTATGAAAATGGAAAGTGTGTACACAAATTGTACACACGGTTGTACATTTTACACATTACAGTTATTTACAAATAAAAGGTACAATTTATGGGCCACATATTTTTATTTTATTTAAAAAAAACACTTTTATTTTATGACTCTCCAAGTGTGAATCTTCCATTTTTAAAACGTAATATCCCTCTGTAATAGCATATATATCTTATATATTATAGAAGATAAGATAAAATATAGGCTATAATGTAATTAATATAATGACATGGTTTCATTTTATAATATTGTGCAAAATGAAAGTGAAAATTGTATTTAGCTGTCTCTGAGGGCTACTGTTATACAATCGTATATAAAGTAAAGCATAGCCATATTTTTTTTAAATGCTGTATTAAAATGTCCAATACATATTTATATGTTGATAGGTGTGTATACTGCACTGTACATTAAAACATTGTATTAAAATCTATATAACTAGTAGTAGTAGTAGTGTATAACTATATAAATATATAATTAAAAAAAACATAATGGCACATACAGTTTCTAATACATGTGAACAACACGCTTTATTACTAGTGTTACTAAAAATTAACAAATTAAGGTAGATAGTTACATCAAATTGCATTTATTTTAGCTTTTGTGAACTCCATATATTCATTTCAACAGCACTGTTGTTGTTCCAGGGCCACTTATTGATTATTTTCTGAATGACCTCTCTGTGAACTGTTTTTGACATGAACATCAGACCCTAATGAACAGTCATGACTCTGGTGGCTGGAGCAGCGATGTCTATGGCGTGGGATGAGAAGAAAAAAGTTTGTGTTGACTGTAATTTAGGATATGAGTCACAATTTCTGCCTACGTGTGTTTAAGTTTCATTGCAGTTTCAGGTGTAAGTCTGAGCATGTCTGTGCGTGATTGTGACTAATAGACCTTCAAATTATTCGCTGCATAACATCTTAAAACTTAGCAGTGTGGCAAAAGATGGACAGAGTTCAAAAACGAAAGAAAGGAAGAGAAAGATGCAACAAATGTGAAAGAAATACAAAAGCTCAGCTCCACTGAGAAGAAACTTTTAGCCTAATGAAGGCCTCAGTTGCCCTTAACAACAATGATGTTAAAACAATCTTTGAATCAGCTCCCTTAGTAATAAGTAGCCCTCATTAATAATATCAATGTTTAATTAATGTTCTAACTAGGGAGTTCTATGAATGATAAACCTCAGCACTGTCACATCACTGTGTCTACTGAACCCTGCACTATTTGGCATATTGATTTTTTCTTTTTTTTTCACAACAGAGATCCTATAAAAAGCAGTACAGATGCTTATAAAATCACCACTTCAGCGACTCCATTTCATTAATCTTAAAGTTCCCTGTTTGCTCCTGTATGGTTCTGTGTCAGCTGTGTCCTTTCGTTCAGTTTTCTGTTTTCAGGGACTGAGTGGCTGCTTCTCCTCCAGAGGTCTGTCAGTACAGGCAGAGGTCCAACACACTGTGTACTGGCCTTTGGTTTACACAAGACACAGCTTCCAAATAAACATGACAGACAGAGAGACAGAGGCAGGGTTTGTGAAATAGAAAGCAACGCTGCATACCTAGCTTCATAAAAAAGATCATACACCTTTCGAGTAAGTCTAAACAGGAATATTGTAAAAATAGCATAATTATAATATGCAAAAGACAAACAACAATGACCCATAAAAAATTGGCCTGAATTTATGATTGAACAGACACCAGTTTTTCATACATGGTGGGCACAAAGCACAATGCTGTCAGTCACAATAGATTTTATATGAAGTCACACATGCTCTAAAAGTTGGTATAACATTTTTACATGCTCACTGTTAGTTATACCTACAATACATTGAGAATAGCCAGAAGTTACTTACCTGTGCAAATATGCCCGTCTGATATTAATATTTTGAACGTTATCTCTAAAAACAGCCAGCGTGTAACACGCTTTGTTTGAAGTGTGGAAACTTGTTTGGATGTCTGTGTGTTTGCATAATGTATCTGTTCTGTCTCACACAGCTGCTGCACAGTGCCACAAAGGGCCTCTGCTGGCCACTGTTGTTGTTGGATAATATTTAATTTTCCATTCTGTTTGGGCATGTGTGTGCATGTGTGTGCATGTGTATCTTGTTTGAAGGGAGTGGATCAGTGGATCTACAAAATGAAATTTAGAGAGAGAGAATGACATGGGTCCCCTTTCATTATGATGAGATAGATGTACTACAGAACCTTTTTATTCTTTGGACTGATGCACCTCCAGTTCTCTTTGTTAGTTTTCTACTGTTGGTTTGGAAACTTACATATCAAAGTGCATGTTTCCAGATCCTACCTACTTTTTCTGCAAATAAACTGTTGTTAGAAATTCTACATGAAAAAAAAAAAAACAACCAGATACTTTGTGGGTATTTTACAGGCTAATTCATGTTTAAATGAATTAACTTTATTCAAAAAGTATTATTTCCAGATTTAAATCCATAAAAAAGTTATCTACTCCTTCGAATTCCACAACAGTAAACATAAAATTTACAGTGATTTAGTTAAATATTTGCTTTTATTTTGGAATATTGGATAATTTTACATATTTGGGCATTGAGTAGTTTATTTAAACGAAACCAATGTGACAAATAACCCCACCTGCTTTACTGAATGGTGTCACCAGTCAAGAATGTTGAGAACAACTGGTTTAATCTTTAATAATGCTTTGTATTTTATGAGTTTATCAGATTTTTTTAGGTAAAGTCTTAATGGAGGAAGGATCTCAGCTGTAAGATTAATGTAGTGGAGTAGAAAGTAGCATAAAGTACCTTAAAATTGTACTTAAGGACAGTACTTAAGTGAATTTATAATTACTTTTCCAGCAGTGATTAAAATGTACAGTATACATAATTCAACAGCCAATTGAATAATTAATACTGAAACATCCACATCATGGGAAAAAATAATCTTTTTTTGGGTGTGTGGTCCAAATTCTTCTAAGGTGGGTAAAGGGGGAACTTCTCAAATCCTGATCACAGTCCTCTGCCAGATGGTAGTTTTACAAAGTCCTTTCATTGCTTGTTCATATCATCTTCTTCCTCCCTGAATATGAAGGCAGTAGCGCCTACAACATGCATCATTTTTTTCCCAAATCATATTTAATTTTTCCTACGGGCTTTGTTCCAACAGCATTTAAATGTCACACCAGAGCCGCCAGTTGAGAACCAAGCAGCGAGGAGAAAGTGTGGCTGTGTTGTGGGGAGGGGTTGCTGTTTGCTGCTCTGTTATCATCAGCCAGGGTAAGAGGAAAGGGGGAGGGCAGGGGAGGAGAGGAGGGGTTACAAACCCAGTCCCGCGGAACATCCTGCAAACACATTTGAGACTCGGAACAAAACTCCATGCAGTTTTCTCCCTCTCTGCTGGCTGCGAGCTCACACCAGCCTCGTGTTCCCGCCGGGATGCCTCCTCGTCTGACCTCCGGAGAGGAAGTCCCGACACTTTGAGTGAAGTCGCCCAGTTGTTGTGTAGTTGACTCTGCGGGTCGCTGCCCCCCTTGTGTGTTTATGTTTGGACGCGCGGCGGTGGGACATCCGGAATGGGGAATCCGTAGGAGGAGACGACGCTCGCGGGCGTGCGGTTGGTATATAGAGCGCGAGTGGTACCAACGCGCGCGCGTGCCCCTTACGCACGAGATGGACTTTAAGAAGACAAAATTTGGAAGGTAATTTGTTTCCCAGGCATTTTAGTTGTTATCTATTTAGTTGTTGATACCTGGAAGCGCATTTTTCATGTGTGACACATCTTGTGCATCCATGCGCACTGACGCGCTGGCACAGGGACGATCAGAGGGATGTTATAGATTAGTTTGTGTGTGTGTGTGTGTGTGTGTGTGTGTGAGAGAGAGAGATGTAAAGAACTAGGAGACCATTACTTTTGTTAAGTACCCAAACAGACTGATAAGAGCTGGAAAGAACAATTAACCCTTTCATTTTCATTTTCACTACCAGAGTTACTGCTTTTGTTTATTCGTGTCCATCCTTCCCATCCTCCTTTCTGCTGAGCAGCTTCCTTGTTGGCTAAGTTGTGGTCAGATTTTTTTTTGTATAAAGTGCTGCTGCTTTTCTCTGGACTTGGCATCACACACATATAGCAGTTTACAGTATTTGCTGTTGAATTCTGCTTGGGTGGATTCATCAGTCAGTTAGTCTGTTTGTCTGTGCATACATTCATCTGTGTGTGTGTGTTTGTGTGTGTGTGTGTGTGTGTGTGTGTGTGTAAACAGGAGATGGCGATAATCGTGAGAACCAGAGTTTGAGTCCCAGAGGAGTTGAACTTGATCTTTGCTGTAAAAGGAATAGCCCTGGAGTTACAGAGAGCGTATTCAAACACACGCACACACACACACACACACACACACACACACACACACACACACACACACACACACACACACACACACAAACACACTCACAGGCATTCCTACACTGTACACTATCCTACCACGATCCAAAGGTTTTGATCCTCTTAGATGCAACCGATCCTATTAATGTATGGAATGTGCTGTAATGGGCTTTTATAACAAAACACTCCCTTTGTGTGGTGAAAACATCGAACCATGTGACACATAAAAGAAGAAACAAGTGTGAACAAACAGAATCTGAACAGCAGAAAGAGAGAAATGAGAAAGAATCGTGTGCTGATGAGGACAACAATGCTCTCTCTGATAAGAGCCTGTGAATCCCTTTCAGTTCATTACACACACACACACACACACACACACACACACACACACACACACACACACACACACACAGTTCTGTCATAACCGATTAGAGTACATCAGAGTTCCACATTCAGGTCCATTGATAGCCCTACAATACCACAACGGTGCTCAGAAAAACACAGTTCTCTTGTTGTGCACTTGGCATGGCCTGCAGGGAAAAACAAAAACAATCTAACGTTACTAAATGTTTTCTTTCTGTGGATAACACTTTGAGAAAGATAGAGCACGTGGCACGAGCTCAATGGAGACACAGTCGACTGTTGTTGTTTGCATAAATCATGCACATGTGATAATAACTTTAATAAAGGGGGTTATCCTTCATATCACATGATAATCAAGTGATAGGAAGTCTAGAAAAGTCTATTAAAGCAGAGAAAAAGAGTAAAACTGAAGTAATGACTGATATTCCGCAGTGTAAGTGTTAGTGAGCAAGAAAAGAGATATGGAAAAAAGTGTGTTTGTGGAGGGTGTGTGTGAAAGACAGATGTGTTTAGTGCATTAGACCAACCAGACCCACAGAAGGAAAACACACCGACATTCTTGTTATGAGGGTTCTGGTGGTGATTTCACAGACACACACACACACATACATAAAATAAAGTATGAATCAGGTATGTAGCACATTCTTTAAATCTAAAAATTTTAGTATTTTATCTCATATTGACTTTTTTAACTTACATTGCTGCAGTTTGAGAGGTTTAGACCCTGAAAATGACAGTTTTTTGTTGCCAGATGTCAGGTCATTGTGTTACGTAAGACTTTTTCCTGTTACATTAACAGGAGTGTTTTGGTAATCTGGTGTTTTATAGACTTTTAGGTGAGGGTTGTGACAAATCGTACATCCTTTTGTTTGCTTATTCCGATTCACTTTCTTCTGATTGCTCTCTTCACTGTGCAGAATTAATAGGCCATTACAACAAGCAGCTATGGGATATGTATGTGTGTGTGTGTGTGTGTGTGTTTGTGTGTGTGTGTGTGTGTGCATGTTGGGAATGAGGCGTGACGCCGCCGGTGTGTGATGATGAGCCGTCGGCCTACATGTGTAATCAAATAACACAGCTGACTGACACAGGCACACCTGTGGCCCCTGCACGAGAAACCACATTAAAATGAGTGTTTGTGTGGATGTGTGTGTGTATTTGTGTGGGTGTGTTTGTATTTGTGTGGGTGTGTGCGTGTGTTTGTGTGTATGTGTGAGTATTTGTGTGTGTGTGCATCTTGACGTAAAAAATGTGGTTTCGTAACATCTCCAGATGTGTTTTTTCCCTGTAAACTGGGATTGAGAGATTTACTGCAGATTAAAGAGCCTACACAACACGACACACACGCACAAGCACGCACACTCACACACACACGCACACACACACACACACACACACACACACACACACACACACACACACACTTCCTCAGTATCACTGTATGTAGTGCAACAAGACAAGAAATAATGCAAATGTAGTCAATGGTTAATGGTCAGCGGTATCCTGTTGTCGTAGTACAGACAGTGACATCACTGGTGACCATAGCAACGCAGACAGTTGCCCCAGTAACGATGAGGCACACTAAAATTCAGACAACGTGATGTGGATTAGAGACCTGTAAATCCGCCAAGAATGACCATCAAGCGCACACATACACACACACTGGCCTTCGTGGGTTCAGCACAGAGTAACTTATTAACTAATAAAGCAGCACCTTGTTTTGGCTCCAGATCTACATTCATTACCTGAACACACCCCTTTCTGTCCCCCCCCTTCTTTTCTCTCCGTCTGTCTCACTCTGTCTCCTCCCCCCTCACCTCACCTCACCTCACCTCACCTCTCTCTCTCAGGTTCATGAACCACAGGGTCCCAGCCAGTAAGAGATACCAGCCTACTGATTATGAACATGCTGCAAACTGTGCCACACATGGGGTGAGCCAAACAAATGCAGACAGAAACACACACACACACACACACACACACACACACACACCCCACACACTTTCAGTAACAGCTATCTTTTTTCTTTCTTTTGTTTACTCTCTCTATCGTCGTGCTTTCTGTGTTTAGTGAGTTTGTCAGTTCGGAGCCTCTGAGTAGATGGGAAGGATTGTGAGGAATGGGGAGGATTTTTGGCCGTGCCATTGAGGCAGTGGGTTATAATCTGTGATTCAGCCTGTAGCTTTCTCTAATCTGCTGTAATCCCTGCGTGCTTCCGCCTCCGAGAGAGCAAGACCAACAGTGAATGAAACAGAAAGTGAGAGATAAAAGAAAACAGAGAGGAAATATGGCAGTTATCACAGTAATGCCTCAAATGGGCTGATGAAATCTCTCCCTACTCTTCCATTTATTCACTCTGCCGGCTAAACATCACTTCCTGTTAATTTAAGGAATAATTTTAACCTTTTGGGAAAAAAATACTCATTTGCTTTTTTTGCCAAGAGTTAGATGAGAAGATTGATACCACTCTCATGTCTGTGCGCTAAATATTAAGCTACAGCCATGGACCAGGACTACTATGGATTAAACTTAAAATATGTTCATTGGTGAGCTTTAGAGGTGCTGGTAGGTGGATTTTATTAACGCTGGACAGAGTCAAACTAGCTGTTTTTGGTCTTTATGCTAAGCTAAGGTAACTGGCTGCTAATGGGAGCGTCATAGTATTGATTATTGATCTTCTTATTGAAGTTAAGCAAATTTCCCAAACTAGAGCAACGTCAACAGGAAACTAGGGAGACATTATAATACAAACACACATTTTCCTTGAAGAGGCTGGTAATTAAAATCTACTAACTTTAGTACCTCGTTACATTCAGTGTTTACAATTATTAAATCTTATAGTTTATTTTACATAGATTAATGCATTTAGTCTCAACAGAAATCTGAAAGTTGTTCAGAAAAAGTGTAATTTACAAAGTAAAATGTAGTGTTTGTATCAAGAGAAAATTATGCGAAAGTACATTTTTGTGTTTTTCTGATCTTTTCTAGTTGTGGATTCTTCCCAGTCTGGTGGGCGGGTCTGTGCTCTACTTCCTGTCTGTGGACCAATGGCATCGTGTGGCTGCCTGGCTTTATGGCAGCGGTCTCACCGGCCTGTTCGTCACCTCAACACTCTTCCACACTGCTGCCTGGAAAATCAGCCACCTCCGGTGTGTGTGTGTGTGTGTGTGTGTGTGTGTGTGTGTGTGTGTGTGTGTGTGTGTGCGCGCGTGCGCGTGTGCGTGTGCGTGTGTGTGTGTGCGTGTGTGTGTGTGTGGTGTGTGTAGCAGAAAACGCTGGTAGGGATTTGGCAGATGTGTGTGTGTGTGTTTATGTGCTGCTCTGGTAGACATTTACATCACACTCAAGCATACAGTTTGTTAATTATGACACAGCCAGAAGGCCAGAGACCAAACAACAGATGTGGCGAGGTAATCACATCATCTTCAACTCACACCCTCAAAAAACTCACTCACACTCTCACATTCAAACAAACTCTTTAAAGTTTAATCCACTTTCCTGTCAAAACACACAATCTCAAACCATGAAAAGTATAGGGCAGATGTTCTTCAAATGTGGTTGAATTAATCCAGACTAACATGTTATCAGTGTATGATCAGGGTGCAAACTACAGGGGAGCCAGGGGGAGCTTGGCTCCTCTTAATAAGACATGAGTTCCCCTGAGAACAGCGGACGGAGAACAGGACCTAGGACTGAATTAATTTTTATTAATTATTTTATTGAAATATTTAACAAATTTGGTGAATAGATTCCAAGTCCCCAGCTCCAACTCTTCTAGCCTTTCAGACACCATAGTCCAAAAAGACACAACAAGCACTGTTTTATATGTTGAAGGACAGAGTCAGTGTGTGTGTGTGTGTGTGTGTGTGTGTGTGTGTGTGTGTGTGTGTGTGTGTGTGTGTTTGTGTGTGTGTGTGTGTGTGTGTGTTGTGTGTGTTGAAAATTTGGTTGTTGTGAAAACAACCAAATTTTCCTTCAGAACATGTGAGACTTTACCATCTGCTAAGCCAACATCAGTACTCTATAAAAATTCCTTGGAAATTACATTCTTTGCCCAGCAGACTGGGCTCCTTTAGAGATGATGATTATCAACAAGTCATGACTTTTATTTATAGAAATGAGCTCTCATCTCTCCTTCTCTTTGTCTCTGTGTAGGAAGGTGGAGCAGCGTTTCCACATGTGTGACAGAATGGCCATCTACTTCTTCATAGCTGCCTCCTACTCTCCCTGGTGGGTGCAGTCTACAAAATATATGCAGTCTGGTGGATAATATAGCTGGTTGACCAATCTCTCCAATAGTGAACGTACTGATGTGTTTCCTCAGGTTGATGCTGAGGGAGCTGGGACCCTGGTCGTGCCACATGCGCTGGCTGATATGGGTCATGGCCTGTGTAGGATCCATGTATGTCTTCTTTTTCCACGAGAGGTAACACGGTCTCTCTTTTTGTCTGTGTCCTGGTTTGACACAATTAACCTGAAACCAAACTCCCGTCCTCAGGTGTTTACAGCAAACACTGGACCGCTGTTTGAAGCAGAAAAAATTTGAGGCATTATTGTTTCACGTCCCAGTTTTCTGCCTGCAGGTACAAGCTGGTGGAGCTGTTTGGATATGTGGCCATGGGGTTTGTTCCTGCTCTGGTCATCCTGTCTATGGTAAGAACAAACCACAAAGGTATAAGTGTTGTCTTTCTCTGCTTCTTTAAAACAAAAAGCCCCTCTTCCGCTGCAGTAGGCTTCCTGCTATTGTGTGAGAATCAGACACTGTCATTATTTAAAGAAACAAACCGGTGCTTTTGTTTGTTTTAACATTTTTTTTAACATTACCTACAAACCACATCTAGTCACTGTAACGTAACTGCCAACTATTTTATATGTATTTATATGTTTTTAGAGTGACTTGAAACTTTCTTGCAACTAGCATGTAGACTCTTAGTCTTCCTTGTGAAAATATGAGGTCATCTATAGATTTATCATCTACAAATCTCATGGAAAAAACTATAATGCTGTAATGTAATGGCAATTTTTAAGAACCTATACAACCTTTGACCTGGCCATTGACCGCTCTATGTCCAAGTAAACAGTGGGATGTTGAGACTTCACTAAGAAGCCAAGGACATGATCATCTCACCACACTATCTGTCTGTTTACTGTCCCAGAACTCAGGAATGTGTAACTGTGTTAGAGTGACGCTCCAACAGGGATAAAACGATACTGCTTCTTCCAATCGGGGCTCTTTCGGACTTTCACATACGAGAGTGTGTGACGGTTGCGTTGAGACCATTCATGGTCTGGAAGGACCTTACAGAAAGACAAGATCATACTTTGTATGCTTTATTAAACAAATTGCCACCACAGTAGTCAATCTCTCTTTTCTACCGTATCTGTGCCTATTGAATCAGAAATGTTGTATGCTTTGGAAAATGGTTGGCAAAAACCATTATATTGGATATAATATATATATATATATATATATATATATATACTGAGCGTGCAAAGGCCCTATTGTAATTATTATTCGTACCTTTTTTTCTTTTTACTATTAAGGCTCAAGTTCTTTTATTTGAGCTGTATATCCTTTACTCTGCTGACTCTTATACTTGTTTTTAAATGTTCCAGGTGGATCGTGCAGGTGTTTGTGAACTGGCAGTGGGAGGCATCTTCTATGTGGTGGGCGTGGTCTTCTTTAAGAGCGATGGCCTCGTCCCTTTTGCCCACGCCATCTGGCATCTCTTCGTTGCAGCGGGAGCATGCATTCATTATTATGCCATATGGAGGTACCTGTATTTACCAGGGCCACTGCTGCACACATCGAGGTGACTAGGCCACCTAAGATGACGTGATTTCACACGTGTCTGAGGAGAGTGTATTTTAGTCACGAGACCACTGTGTTTTGACAACAACTGACCTGACTCATGTGGCGACACCTGGAGAGATGGTGCTGAGATGATCTGTCAGTATTGACTGCGACAGATCAGATGAAATTCTCCAAAAGCGGGGCCAAAACCACAGGACCAAACTGTTCAACTAAAAATCCTTTCAACATGCTATATGATGAAATTCAACTGAGCCCTGGGTATGAATCTCATCAACACATGGGAGATGTTTGCATAAACAGGGCTACATACAACGTGCCAGGTAGTATAGATTGCCAATATTCAGTTAAAGGAGTTGTTAAACATTTTGGAAAATATGCTAATTAACTTTCTTTATAGAGAGTTAGATGAGAAGATTGACATATGTGGCTAGCCGCTGGTTAGCCTAGCACAAAAAATGGAAACTGAGAACTTTAATCTCTGTAACTGAACAGATGATATACAGTCAGCTAGTAAACTCCACCCTTTCCATATTCCAACCATAAGTGATGTGCCAAAAGTAACCACACAGGAATTATATATTTGTGCTAAACCCCCACTTTTAATAGCCATTTTTGCACAGCAGCAAAACATGAAAATATTGTCACGAATCAACAAGTCATGTTTGGAAAGGCCAAATTCTGTGTGCAAGATGCTGCCCCTGATTTCATAAACAAACATACTCACCATAGGTTGACATTTGACTGTGTTAAGCAATTTGGAGAGACTTAAGGTCACTATATAATAACTGGGTGACACACTGATACGAATTAACAGACACTCACTGTGATTTGTATTTATCATTAATCAGCCTCAAAATAATCTCTAATGATTTTACTGCAATGTGATTCAAAAGATTAAAAGTCTAATCGTACAGCTGATGTCATACTAACTGTATTCTGGGTCAAATGTTAAATTCTCAAACAATGTCGAGGCTATTTCCATTGATTATCTTGTTTAGACGACTATGACTGCCAGTTGTTTTGTTTAAGTGATGCACTCTCAACCTCGAGCACTTTTCTATCAGCAACAGTGATGAATAAAATGTAGAATTTCCTAAAAGCTTCTGAATATGACAGAATTAACAGACGGGCATGTTATACATGTAGATTGTATGTGCACATTTTTATACTTCTTCAAACACTGTTTAGATCACACTTGCAGGTTTTCTCTAACTTTTAGTAGTTAAACTGTTTCTGTTGGCAACAGAGCACTTACTCAGGAAGTAAGCATTTCTTTCTTTTTAAAAAAAATAATCAGATCTATTTTGTAAAGAAATGTTTTCATTGTATTAAAGAAGAGACACTATATTATACTGAGTACACTGTATTTTGTGGATGCCAAAAATGCTTCATTACACCAAGTTTCAATCAGATAATGTGATTTATTTACAAAAATAATGTACAAAAATTAAACAAGATACATTAGTAAGCCCATTTCATAAGGGAATTGATTTTCTTTTAACTGATGCATCTCCATGTGCCAATGAATTATGTGTATGTGAGTGTGTGTGTGTCACTGTGAGTGTGTGAGGTTGGTGAGGGCTCGCAGTTGCAGTGGCATGGCCACGTTGATGTCTCTGTGCCACTGGGGTGTTGTGACATGTGGAGGTGGGGTCAGGACACTCTGAGCCACACCGGGGGCCTTCAGCAGCGACCACAACTCCTCACCTCGCGTTACTATGGCAACAAGGTCCTCTTCATCAGAACACCAGGCAACTGACCCGCCTCTGGTTACCGTTCTTAACTTGGAGAGGAACAGAGACACCCTAAAATAGACAAACACAATTACATTACATTACATGACATACTGTGTGTCTGTATGAATAAATCCTTTCAAAAATCTGTATGGTTGTCAGACACCTGGGTATGAGGTCATGTGATCGTGACGCCAGCTTAGCCAGAGCACTCATTAGAGTGGTAACGACTCTTGGGGCAGGGCAAACCGCTCCAGGTGGTGGGGCAGATGAAGTGATCTCAAACAACACCGCCTCCAACGCCTCAAAACAGGAAGTGATGAGCCTCACGGAGCAGCGAGAGTCACATGACACAGAGAGATACTCTCCCAGCACCCACACCTGAAAGCCAAACAAGTGAAATTTTATTTCGGTGTGAGGTTTTGGCACATTTCATTGTTTAGTGTGATATTTGATCATCGTTCAATACACAGGAAAAGATGCTGAGATGTGAGAACAGCTTGAGATATGAGATGCCGTGACGTTTGAACGGGATCCAAATTACACACAAAGGAAAAAGTATCATCGTTAAAATCTGCAAGATCCTCCTCTTTGCCTTCCTCTGTCTCATGCAGAGCTCTGTCACAGGTTCATTACCACATGTGTATAGATTTCTTCTTTGCTGTAGACGTTGGCTGTGGCTCCAGCAAACTCCAGCAGCTCATGAGACTGGTCCACCACCAGAGATGGGTGGAGCTTGCACAGCCTCAGCAGGTGGCAGCTGAACACCCTGCAGAGAGAGAGTGGACGGAGCGAGTGAGGAGATCAGGGTGAAGACATACAGCAGAGTAACACTTAAGTTCCTCTGTATGTGTTTACCTGTGGATCTCTTTGATGTATTTAGGGATGTTGAGGAGGAGGCTGCTTCTCTCCAGCATGACCAGAACCAAGTGCGCTAAAAGCTTCTCATCGGCAACCTAGAAAGACACACACACACACACACACACACACACACACACACACACACAGTTTATAAACTGAAACTACACATATTAACGTGCAGTTGTTGCAGCTGTAATGAACATTTAATCTCTTCACCGTGGTGACTGTGTTGAAAAAAATGTGCAACAGCACAGGGACAGTCTGGGCACACTGAATAACTCTCGGCCAATCAGCAACCTCAGCTAGCAGCTCATGGAGCGTGCCCAGTCTGTCAATTGTGTCACCTGTGGAGAGATAAAAAAAAGCACAGTGATTAAATGAGTTATTAGCAATGTTTCCAGAATAAAGACCAAAATGTACCAGCTGCTTTCCCCCAGTGAACCTCCAAAATCACTGATGACAGTTTGAACAACCAGTCAACATAGCTGCCGCTACAACCAGAAGTCAGTTAGCTTAGCTTAAAGAGGGCAAAACAGCTAGCATCTGCTACAACCTGCTGGTTGGGGGTTGTCGGAAAGCAAATAAGTGATTTTCCTAAATTGTCAAACTGTTTCTTTAATTGTGCGACTGCGATTACCTGAGCCTGCTTCCCCTCGAAGCAGGAAGAGAAAAAGCCCTCGGAAAGAGGGATTTCGAAATGCATCAAGTGACAGGAGGCAACGCCCGCCTGGCTCAGAGATGGGCAAACAAGCTGACCTGCAACACACACACACACACACACACACACACACACACACACACACACACACACACACACACACACACACACAGTGAGACGGTGGTAAAAAACATGAACATGGTCAAGTCAGTCTGGTAGTCATTTTGGACACTTTTAGGGAAGTTTTGCTCTGATGGGTGCGAGGACCTAAGTTGCAAGACCAGTGTGGCAGAGAGACAGGGCAGATCCAAAAGAGTGTGGAGAAGCTCCACTGCAGTCCCAGCTGTCACCAGAGATGGCAGCAAATCCACAAAGTCATCCACCACCGCCGGGCTGTCCCACGCTAACAACTGCATAGACAGACAGAGAAAGAAAGCAGACAGCTTGTGTATCCCTCACTTGGTAGAAAATGTACTCTTCTCTAGCCTACAGCATGTGTGAACAGTTGAAAATATCTCTGTGTGGATGAGTTTTCTTTGGTTTTCACCTTCAGCAGGTTTGGGAAGGAGTGGGTGTACTGTGGGACTCGGAGCTGCAGGCTCTCGAGGTTCAGTCGAAGGAAGCGTAGAAGCTCATGTGCCAGGAAGTGGTCGTTGAACAACTCGGCAGGGAATCGGCCAAACACCAGGTTCCACACACTCTCACAATCCACTGCAGCCATCTCACCTAAATACGTTCAAATACATTTAAAATTCACATGCTTTCAGTATTAGTCAAACACGGGAATTTTAACTTATATGCATCCATATTTCTGCTTATGTACAACATATGTACTATGTGATTTGGAGAAATACAGACATATGTGGTGTTGAGCACACGGACATGTTGATGTGTATACACACACCATGGTTGAGGTAGAACTGTGCTATGGGCAGCATGACTCTGGCAAACGACAGGTCTGAGCTGAGCCGACCAAAGAGCGCCTTGATGCATGGGAACGTTCTGTAGACCAGTGAGGCATCCTCTACACAAACACAGTCCAGGATACACACCGCCTCCACCAGACACTGAGAGAATAAACAGGACAGAGACAAGAAGGGCACCAGTATACAAATCTGGTTTACAGTGTTTCCAACCAATATTATACACCTGACTGTTATTACTGCTACTGTACTGGAAATACATCAGATGGATGATTATTTAGGGTGGATGTCTTTCCTTAATATTAGTAAAGGGATAGTGATAAATTATATTCAGCCTCACCGCTTTCTGCAGGTCTGCATCTGTCCTTTTGTGTGCCTCTGAGAGAAAGAGAAGAATACACATGAAAACGGTTCACACAAACTCACAGTCAAATATAATGTACAGATACAAAAGAATAGACAACCTTATATGTGCAGAAGTTGTTCATTTAAAATCTGCATTTGCAATTACTTGACTTACTTTTGTCTCTCACTCCCACACGCACACTAGTTTAATGCACACACACTCACTGCGATCGCTCTGTTCGATGAGGCGTTGGCAGTACTGGAACGCCTTCTCCCTCAGGCGCTCTTTTGGAGGCAGCAGTCGGCTGGAGGAGGACGTGGCTGAAACCATAGAAACCACCGACCCATCTATCTCCGACCGGTCATCTGCAACATGGGAGGTCAGGAACGAGAGGTCACGACTATAAGCCTTCTCAAAGAAATTATGATATATTCTGATAAATTCCAGATAATGTATTCTCGGACTGTTTGCTGCCACATCTGAACAGAGAGTAGGAGTTACAAAGATTGGAAAGGTTGTAAACTAATGTTTCAGTCGAAAGGAACTAGTCACCAGAAGCTATAAATCTGCAACTATGTGATTTTGTGAAAAGTTGTGTAAAAACTTTGTCATTGTACAAGAAAATACTTTTCTTCCACCACTGAGTGTTGTAGGGCTTTGGCTCCAGTCTTAAAGGGGTGCTACAAGTTTTACAAACCACCAGATGTCACTGTGCTGCTGTGTTTGAAGTCCAAGTCTATTTTCAGCACAAACAGAAATGAAAGCACCAAGTGACGAGTTGTGATGGCAAAATTACTGTAAATGTAACCAATTCCTGGAAAAAAACATTGCAAATGTTTAGAAAATCACGCTTTTAGGCTGCAATAATCCCTAAAAAAGCCTGCAAAACCCTGGAGGGTCTGGTGCTTTGTTAAAATAGGCCTTTAGACCACTAACATCAACTCACAGAAGTGTCAAGAGGACAATCAAAATAATAAAGGCTGGCTTTATTCTATACACACAGCACAAGCAACAGGTTCAGTAGCTCTTTGCTGGATGTATGTTTAGTATAGTAACTGTCAGAGCAGTGTATTAGTCATTCATCACAGTGATTCATTCATGTTTAAAAACTCATGAGAGGATTAAAAGGAAGATTTAAAGGCGCATACACCTGTGAAAGTGTGGTCAAGAAGTAACAGATCAGCATTTCTGGTGGGATGGTTTGTTAGTTTAAGTGTGCTTGTGAGTCATGATCATATCAAGTGCAGAGAATTGAGATAATTAAGATTAAAGATAAACAGAAGATAAGTGAGATTTTTCTTATTTACAGCCTATTAGAGGCACGTGCATGCAGGGATGGTCCACAAACACACATGTCTTACCATTAGAAAAGGAGTGGGAGTGGGAGAGGGAGAGGCTGAGCTGCAGCCTGTTTGCTGGAGATGATGAAAACACACAGCGAGTGAATTACAGCCTTCCAGGTCAGTACTTTGAGGCTGATGTTCCTTTGTTTGTACTTTGTAGCTATGCATGAAGTAATGAGCCTGTCTAGCATGGGATGGCAACGGGTTGTGGTTTCTGTTGGTGGTAAAGTCATACCAGTGTCAGCTGTGGTGTTGTCATTGGAAACAGAGTGGTAGGTGAGAAGCCAGTGGCGAAGCATGGAAAAGGAATAGACGTTCATCCACTGGTCGTCAGTGAAGCCCTGGCCCACACACAGCACAGTGAAGAAATCCCCCGACACCGTCCCATCCAGCTCTGCTATGGGCGCCGGCTGACAGACAGACACACACACACACACACAAAGACATTAAAGAAGTAGAGCTTAATTTGGAAAAAAACTTAGAGTGTGCTTTACAGGGTGAATATGAAAGTATATTGCTCACCTGACGTGACCTGGGCCCTGTAAAGAATCCTCCGGAGGAAGCTCCGCCTCCCTGAGTGATGCTAGCATAACGCAGCCAGTCGACAAGTTTTTTACTTAAGAGTGTCTCATGATCTGTAGAAAGTCAGGTGGAGAGAAAGAACTGTGTGAAAACTTCTGCTTTATATCCTCTTGGTCACTGATTGGCTTTTTATTTTTTTATTTATTTGTCTGTTACCTTCAGTGAGGCACTGGGGGCAGTGTGTGAGGATGGTGTTGAGGATGGGCAGGGTGTGTGTGAGCGAGTGAGATGGCCCCTCTGATGATCGGCTTTCCAGACTGCGAAGGAGCTGAGCGCAGAGAGACGACAGATCAGCCCTGGATCCAGCCTAATGGGGGTTAAAGTTAGAAAGAGACAGTGTTTGAGTTATAAGTGTAGATTTATGAAAACAAAACAAGCTCCTTTGTGTGCTGAGTCCATGAACAGTCTGTCTCTCTTTTTACAGCCACCAAACAACTTTATTATACAATTCTATACGATAACGGATACCAAAACAAACTACAGTGCTTTTTACTCTTTAAACAAAATCCACTCCATGTTGTCTGAATAGAAAGTAGTGGCAAAATGACTAGTGGATTAATCAATCAGTGAATAATCACCAACAATTAGAGAGGCAACAAACAATATCTTATGGTGAACACAACGTATGAATTACTGCATACCTGTGAGAGCAGCAGGGCAGCAGCGTGGCTGTTCAGTTGACTGACGTTCTCCTGGTTGTAGTTCAGTTCCTGACCAGAGAGAGGTGGTGTCTCTCTCAGCACAGCTGAGCTCAGCACCTGAAGCTGCTCTACAGGTGATGAGAGGAGCGACAGGACCCTCTTCTGAAGCTCTGGAGGCAACCTTTGGTCAATGACAACAGAGAAGACAGGTCGGTGGCAGAGGTGTTATGAATAAAAGTTCATACTGAATATTAAAGAGTTTGGAACATAATCAGAAGATGATTAATGACTCGGAAGGTGAAGGTCGGCATTGTGGCTCTTTGTTTTTTCTGCTTGCTACCTGAGAGGGCAGATGAGATCACCACAGACAGTAAATGGGGGGTTTAGAGGCAGAGACGGAAAGAAGAGGATGGGGGAGTGATGAAGGAAGAATAATAAAGGAGCAACATGAAAGTGTGAATAATTCAACAGGTCTAACATGTGCAGATTAAACTGGATGTGGATGGACTGGAGCTCTTACGTCCTGGTGTACTTGGAGGCAGAGAGGATGAGGTGCAGTCTCTGCAGCGAGTCGACAGTCTCATGACCGAACTCCTTCCCCTGGAGCAGCTTCACTAATCTGCTGTAAAACTTCTGCAGCTCAGACTCCTGGATCTCCCTAGAAAGGACACACGCAGACGTATTGCTCAAACATTGTGCCACCAGATCGACTGACACAATATTAATCAACTCCCTTTTTGACTGTTGATACTTGAGTGTCTTTTATATGTCACCTGGTTATGTCTTTGTGTCACTATTGTCTGTGTTTATGTGATTTTGGGGATGAGCTCATATGGTTATGTCATTGTTTTACTATCTGTTTATGCCTGTATGGCTAAATCTGGCACATTTACACGATGGACTTAGGTGGTCCTTTTAATTAATGTGCATTGTACCTCTATAAATAAGTAAATTTAAATCCTTTACGTCGTTTAGTTGAAAAAAGTAAGATAAATATCCAGTATTTCCGGTTACAGTCTCACAAAAGCAAAGTTTGCTGGTTCCTCTTTTGTGTTTTAAACATATTAAGTTAAATAACGTTACACTATTAAAACCAACAGACGTGAGGATGAAAGTGTTTGTTAGCTGCCGTCCTACCGGTGATAAAGACCCGTAAAAGTAGCGCTAAATTAAAAAAGCTCAGTAAACACAACAATGCTTTGACAGGCTCGCCAGCGTTAGCATAGTTAGCTTAGCAGAAGACATGAAGGCGAGCAGAGTGTGAACCAGCTGAACATGGCGCACAAACTTCTCCTTTTTCTTTTTACCTTGCTTGTTTAATTAAACTCTCGGAGCCGTGAGAGTACATAATGAGAGAAAGTGGTGCATCCCTCCGCTACTGCTGCCCGCACCGGAAGGTAAACAGTGCGGTCGCTAAAGAAGTCCTGAATGGAATCACATGACCATCACTTTGGTTCCGTCTTCACCGCGGAGACGTGATGGAGCAGCACTCCGCCATAATGAGCCATAGTACACAGAAAACCACAATCTCTAGCTTTACATCTGGCTACAGCTTAACAACAACAAATTATTATTTCATTTCATTTCATTTTAGTTGTTATTTGACTTATTATTCTTCTTCAACAGTTCCATTGTCTAAACATGTAGTTAAACACATCTGATTTTACTGTGATGCTAATTAAAAAGGACCAAGCCTGCATATTGATCTTTTACAGCCACTTTTTCATAGGTTGCTAACATACTACAGAAACAAGCTTTAGGCAATTGATTCAAATACTTAAATGCAATTTTTCAGCTATTAAATTTTTTGATGCCTTCCATTTTTACTCTTTTGAAAATGAAGACTTGAAGAAGATGAAGAAGATCTGAATCCACCAATATTGAGACTATTTACTTAAGTAAATAAAATGCCATGAAATAATCAATTTCAAGAAAAGCCCTGCATTCAGATGTTTACTAAAGGATTTAAAAAAAATAGACTCATCAAAAGTTACAGTGCTCATTTTGCGGAATGGCAATTCAAAGCATTAGCCTACTTAACATACTTAACAATATATATATATATATAAATACTCCATTACATTTAATTGGCATGCATTGAAACTACAAGTTAAGCAAACAGCATTATCAGTTAAATGTAGTTGAAGAAATGAAAGTGAATATAAGTTACTCATGATGCAGAAAAATAGCTCAGATGAGTGTTATAGGCCTACTGGATTATTATTAGCACTGTAATCATTTATTGTCAGAGTTGGTTGTGATGGAGCAAATCTCATATACACTGTTGTTGTAGTTTAATTTATAACACCATATTTAATACAAAATGTTGTGCATGTAAAATCTTGAAGACATTCCCCTCCTGCACAGCCTGTACAGGTGCAGTGCGTATTACAATGGCGATAACAACTGATAGCGGCAATTAAGGAGCATTATTTCGAAGCAGGTGCCCGTAATGCAATATATTTATTAAATTACAACATTTCCCTCTGAAGTGTAGCCTCGTGCAGTGAAAGTAATTTTACTTAAGTTTCCATCTTCAGAGTCACCTATAAAGCTGAAGGCGTAAACAATGAGGTTGGATAAGATATACACCGGAATGAGACACAGGTGATAAAACACTTCATACTGAATAATCATTAACTTAGCCTACTTAAAGCCCCCAGTGACTGTATGACTGTTGTATGTGGCTCTGTACGACTGTGTGGCTGTGTCTGGTGACAGGCGCAGAGCATGAAGTGAGACAGGTCACAGAGGCAGAGGGCTTGCGCTCTTCCTCACCTCTCTGCACTGAACTTGTTATTTCCATCTGAGCTCACACCGCCCGCCTCCGCTCTCTCTCACACTGTCTGTCTGTCAGTCAGTCTCTCTCTCTCTCTCTCTCTCTCTCTCTCTCTCTCTCTCTCTCTCTCTTTCTGTCTGCCTCTCTCTGTTTCTGTCTGCCTACCTCTCTCTGTTTCTTCTGTCTGTCTATCTTTATCTCAGGCAGTGCGTCGGGGCAACGCTCCCATGCGCTCTTCACTTTATTTAAAACTCCTCTTTCCCTCTCTGTCTCTCTCTGTCTCTTTCTCTCTCTCTCTCTCTCTCTCTCTCTCTTGGATAAATGGAGACAACCTGAGCCTTTTGGATTTATGGTGAAATAACCGGTTTCGTGATTTAAAAAGAAAGAAAGAAAGAAAACAACAGAAAGAAACAGGCAACACCACACCTTGGCCGAGTTTAATTTGCCTTCAACTGTTTGGGCTACTCGTCCGCCGCAGCTCAGGTATGTAAAATAACTCCAGTCCTCTCTTGTCTACGCATATACGCGCTAATGCATTCAGAAATGAAGATATATGTTAAAAATCAGGTATGTAAACGTGCGCCAGTTTGAATGGAAAAACTGAGAAGCCGAGAAGTGATATTACACACATTATCACCGCAGCCTGACAACCTGTCACAACTGTGTGTCATCAGAATCAACTTTATCGTCAGGCTGAGTGTGTGTAGGCTAAAAGGAGACTGACTCCGATCTAATAAGTCAGAAAAAAGCTAAAAAGAAATAGTAGGCATGACTGTTATGCACACAAGTTTGTGAAAAAAAACTGGTAGCCTATTCAAATCACCAATTACCAACAACATAGATAAATGCCTGTATACAAGTCAAGTGTTTCTGTAAGTTGTAAACAATAGTGAAAATAGATAATATTGAATGAATATACATAAAGTGGATGTTTATGTACAGTATGTGTATGTATACATACAGTATACAGCTTGGGGGGTTCGTATTGACAGTGACAGTGCATGATCAACTGTATATGGTTAAAAACAAAATGGTGTTTTTAAACTGTAAAATATAACCCTATAAGGTAAGGAAGGGAATGTTTTGGTGTCGTATCTATTGTATATTTGTTTCACTATTAAAGAGTACAGCACATGTCCAAGTCACTTAGACTATTAGAAGAACTTTAATAACTGCGTGTTTGTCCTTTTAAAGCTGCTCGAAGAACTTACTGATAAAGGGTGCACACTATTGAAACTATTGAAAACTATTGATTAGGATGTGAGTCTTGAACAAACTAACTATGTCTATCTGATGTAGTTAATGAACCTGTATTTTTGCCTTTTGTGAAATCCTCTTGGCTTATAAATGAAGAAAGTTATTAGTATGGTAACACAATCGCTCAGTTCCTCTGTCATCATTGAGCTCATTATCTGGCATCATCAAAATGTTTGGGATTCCAGCACCAGGTGCAGAAGACAATGAGATCCAGTGAAGAAGAATCAAGGAGATGCAGGGACACAGAGATGCAGAGGTCAAGTGCAGTGCAGTTACACTGATGTGATTGCGTTCTGCTTATTCATTACGATGCATTGATCTCAACCTTTTTGTTTTGTTGTGCTGCTCAAGTATGACTGTTTAGTAATATGTTTTAAGAAACAGAAAGATCCCCTCCTTTTTAGAATTATACACAAGAAAACAATACTTTCCCATAAAAGTATTAAGCAGTATTATTAAGGAGAAATTACAGCATAGGAAGACATGATTCGGTTCTCTTTTCTCTCTCTTTGATGCCAATGCAAATTTCAAAAACTGAACTAAATGGAACATAAAACCATCAAAATGTCTATTTATGTGTAGGATATTAAAATTAAGCTGACTGTGTCCTTTTTTAAAGAAATGTAAATCATGCAAACTGCACATGTCAGCCTTTAAAGGAGCCGGGTCTTGTCTTCCGTCTCTCTCCACGGACAGAGCCCACATATCACATTCCCATTAGCTTCAACTATTCTGCTGGACAATGGAGCCTTTATGATGGTTTATACACCTGAACCAATCATATCTGCCTATCAGCTAGCTGGCCAGCCAGTCCGCCCAGTGCACTGACACTGAGCCTGAACACAGCCCTGGAGTCATTGAGCCTTGTCTCACTGACACAGACTGGGTTTGAATTGTCTTGAACTCACTGAATTGTGAAGCTTTAGAGAGATCAAACCGACGTTTTCTACCCTGTATAACATAAACATTTACCGTATGTGCTAGAGAAATGTGCGTAATATAAATGTAATAAAAAGTTCATTACATTTTGGTTCTCTATTTGATATTGCACTGCACTATAATCTTAACTCACCTGCTTATAGTCTGTGTATCAGTGGCACACTTCTGGAAAATTAGATTATATTGTGATGGACAGTTTGGTCTTCCTGACATCAGTTCTGCAGAATGTAGTTGTGGTTGGCTGTGAGTGTAATAAATCTGGGTCACAATGAGGCTCACTTGAGTTCATACGTGTTTGGCATTTCAAAGAAAACAAAGAGGAAATTACTGATATTTGTCTCGCAGTTACTCCACGCAGATCCTTTGGCGTTCTCCTACTGTGTTAAATTTACAGAAATTATCAGAGAAAGTCTGCTTGGTTTAAATGAACAGATTCAACAGCTGGATGAAAAGATATTTAGACCAGCTGCAGAAAATAATATCAGCATAGTGGAAAACCATTTCCATCAAAAACAGATGAACAGACAACAGTAAACCTTAAATGTCTCATCTTAAAAACTGAACCAACAATACAAAAGTTATTGACTTGTTTTAGGGATGCTAAGTTGCTGCAGCTGTTAAAGTATTAACACAGACAAATGCAATATAAGAATGAAAAACAATAAAATAATTAAATGGAACATCAATAATAATATGATTGGGGTGTATGAGAAGGATACATATGAAAGAATAAAGATTACATGAAGACTTTATTGGGTGCAGACGCTGTAGGGAGCTGCAGGGTACCAGCAAGGCTCATATCACACGTGTGCTCCCCTCGCCCCTGTGAAGATGTCTACAAACCTAAAGGAGGTCACAGGTCACAGCCTATGCCTCTTCTTTGTTCATTTGTCCTCCTCTCTGACTGTTTGGAGGACTAGACTATGCAGAGCAGCTGATGAGGCTGAACACTGAGCATCCGACATGTCATAGTACTTTGTTATAGAAGACCATGGACTTAGGATAGTGTCTGTAGGCTGTTTGGTAGGTTAGTTTGTTTGGAACCACAACCCAGTTGGATCATCAGAGTCATGACCATGTTTGGGACACTAGTAGATCTTGTAGGTCTTGTTTGGATCTCGTTTCTGTTAAATATCCACCGACAGGATAATCTTCAGAAATGGGTTTGCAACTACACCGTGTTACACATGTCATCAAGGTCTCCTGAGCTCTTCGTCGAATAAGAGTGGTTCACCTTCCTCACAGTTTTTCCATCACAACGCGTTTGTTTATTTATCCTTGAGCATTTGATTGTGTTCTTTTCCAAAATGTTGTAAAATCCATGTTAGTGTAAAATTGACTTATTTTAAAACACTGTCAATGTCTTTGTAGCAAGATAATATTGGTCTTAACTTAAATAAGTGGTGCTGCAAAACTGTACAAACAGTAGGAAAAGTCAGAAGATATAAACACACTTTAAAAAATTTGTATTTATTCTGTATTTTTTTATTCTGAAGTAGTATTTTACCCTCTCACTTTCACCCTTTCATTGCAAGTCATACATACTTTAATGTGAAGTTCTTACAACAGTTTGATTTTGGAATATGCTCGTATGTGAAATAAATGTTGAGTTGAAAATCAAAATGAACCACCGCACACTGGAATGACTTTAGTGTGATTTTATAGTTACATAGTCCTGCGATGTACCATCACCTGACTGGTGTTAAATGTGCATGAGGAGTAACGTTAGAAGGTTTAGTTGGTTGTTGTACGTTCTCTGTCGACAAAATGGTAGTCATCAACACAGAATATAGAAATACTAAATACTAAACTGAAAACATTTGGTTTTGACTTATATATTGACTTAATACAAAAGTTAGGGGTATGATTTTCCACTTACAAAAAGCAGGATAACTGAACATGTCTACACTGTGCTAATGTCATGAGTAGCAACCCTGTGAGTGAAATGGATGAGGGACATAAAGACAGAGCGTTGTGGTGGTAATCAGTTCAAATGCTGAGCAGGGAATCCTGCAAGGCAGACGTTGTGTTTGTGTGTCTGCCTCATTTAAGTCTGCAGTCACTAAAAAAAAAGGGAAAATGCAAGATTTAGTATGAGGACATACACACATACACGCTGCTCTAAAAAACCCAATCCTCTCCCCTGACCACATTACTATATACAAAAGCGGCCGACTGAGAGGACTAAAACAGAATACAGGAAGAGAGCTACTACTCACATCTGGTTTGAAAAGGAGGAAGCAAGGATGAGCTTTCTCGGTAATGAACTCCAAAATAAGAGAAGAGAGAAGAGGAAACATGTATGTGGTTACTGAAGGGGTCTGTGCGTGTGCGTGTGTGTGTGTGTGTGTGTTTGTGCACGCGTGCTCAACATGTGTCTGCATGCACTGTGTACTTCTGCATGAGTGCATGGGTGTATGTTAGTGTGAGCGCTTGCGGTTTTATCATCTGCTGTGACTGTGGCAGTATATACACTGCAGATTCAAATAATAGCTTCAAGTGTTGAGAGGGCGTGATATTGTCTGCCTCAGGGTACATTTGAAAAGTAGCTTATCATTGATTTTGTCCGCTGACTGAGTGTTTATTTATTTGAAAAGGTAATAACAGAGAAAGTCACTGACAGGCGTTGAATTTGACTGAAGATAAGAGTTATTGACACACTGACTGTAACTGCAATGTTGCAATGCATCCTTTGCCTATACGTTTACTAGCGTATGTGTATAACTCTGAAGTGTGAGAGCACAAGCTCAAATTGTCAGATGCACTGTGCAGATGACAGTTGTATGCAAAAGTGTGTGTTTACATGAGTAATGGCATCAGATACGCTTGATTTGCCTAACTGTAGATTGCAAGTTACAAAGCAGGATTGTAGGATAACACCCACTGGCCAGACGGCATGCAAATCCCAGAGATGCATGGACAGCGTGTATGTGTGTGTGTGTGTGTGTGTGTGTGTGTGTGTGTGTGTGTACGAGAGAGTGAAATGATAGATAAAGGAAATCAAGTGGGAGTAAGAGGAAGATAAAGACAGTAGAAATATAGAGTAGAAAAGTTTAAAAAAAGGAGAGGCAAATGGAAAGACGTCAGTTGGTTTAAGTTTGTGTGTTATTGTGGGAAACAGATGAAGTGGAGAATGTGTGGGACCCAGAGCAAAGGCTCACTCTGTCCTTTTAGACCTCACAAAGCCTCCCAACACTCTTTTGCAGATATGTATTCATATAGATTATCAAATCAGTTGTAAATAATAAGACATGTTTTGATATTAGCAACTTATTTAATCGCCCCAAAGCACACCAGCCAAGCTTCTAACATTTGCCATCAGAGATTATAGTGTTCATAGTGATCATGTTCTAATAATAATTCAGTGTATTCATTAATTCATACACACTCCATCCATAGTAGCCTATACCTCGAAGGGATCTAGTGTTCGGAAAGACCTGCACCTGCTGGTCACATCATCGCAATGGGACTCATTTTAGGGATTCATGTATGCTGTGAATCAGTTTTGTTGTGTTTGTTTGTGTTTTTTAGGACTTGCATTATTAGTTTTGATACTTGCACAGTACATTTACAGTTACATGTTGACCCTACACTTCACCATGGAACCTTTTAATTGTTAAAAACAAAACAAAAACAAGACTAAGAATGTACAGTCATGCCAGCAGCTCTGTGAGGCCGTACTACTGAGGCACAGTGGTGGCTCTGAGCTAAATGCTAATGCTGACATAATGACAATGCTAACATGCTGATGTTTAGCAGGTATATGGTTTACCATGCTCAGCTTTAGAGCTCGAACTTGCAATGCATTGTTTTAATGCCGTTATCTTGAGATCCCAAGTTAATTATTTTGTTATCCAGAGATAACGAGATAATCAACCCGTTATCATGAGAAAACAAAAGGTTGTTTTACTTTTATTACTTGTAAAGTTTATCAGAGATGGTGTATTATATCTGTAGCCTTGGTTCATCATAATGGACAGTTCATGGAGGAATGACATGCAACATGCCTGTAAATATTCATTTTCATACCGATTGGTTGATTTTAGCTGTAATGGTGTCTATCTTGACCAATATCACAGTATGAAATGTCAAACTAGCTTTGATTTAATTTAGAAACAGTGTCACCATTATTATAGGTAATTTATTACTTGCAACCATGATCACTCGTCTTCTCCTACTTGTCGAACGAGCAAACAAACAAAGTTTGATAGCTGAATAGCTGCTCAGCTGCAGAGACATTAAACAGTATGAAAACCTGCAGATGTCTGGTTAGATGCTGGTGTGGTCATTTCTCTTAAATACCACACACACACACACATTGTGTGCCCATCAGCTGTGGGCTACAGCACAAGCTTGTTTACTTTGTCTCTTTACAGTTTACAGCTGAGCTACAGCTGAGATATAAAGGAGAATTTCAGATATAGACCCTAATACTCTTTTACTTCTCTTCAACAATACATTTAAAATAGTAAATTAGTTTTGACGACAAAAAATGATAACTAAATGTGATTGTTGTTGGACTTTAAAAGTTTCACATTTCACTTAATTATTAACCTCATGGTGGAGCTGGAGGAAAAACTGCCTAAACACAATGAAGGTCTACCAAATTTCTTGGCCATCCATCGAATAGTTGTTGAGATATTTCAGTCTGGATAGAAATGGTGGACAGTTCCAGCTTCAGATCCATGTGTAGCTAAAAATATAGTCATATGACATGATATATATGATCTGCATCAAATTCACACTGTCTATCATAATTATTAACTGTGGCATGAATGAAAACGTACTTCAACAGCATATGTTTTAAAAAAAAAAGGCTTGCAGACAACTAACCACAAGTAAACTAGCACAACATGTCGCGTTAGCTTGTGGTTCCTACTCTGTGTGCACCATTTTGTGCCAACGTTTAAATATTACACAGGACAAATCCATCAGACCAACTGCAGGTATCAGTTAATTAAATAAGTTCATTAATTAATTTAATTGTGCATATGTAGTGTAGTGTTTAACTATACAGTTGTACTGACAGGGGAAAGGTATATCACTGGCTCTGGCTTGATCTGGTTAACCCAAATGACAAGATTTAAGTGTTTTTAAGAACATTTTAAGGACGTAAATACCCCAAAATATTTCTTTGAAGTCCCCTCCGCTCAAAAATAGTATTCTCTTCTTGTTCCTACAGTTGGATGTTTGAGCTTCACTGTGCAGAATGATGTATGAGCAGAGTTTGACACCAGAAGGATATTTTCACATTCATCTTCTGAAAGTGGAAAGTTTCTCTGTGCTCATTGAAAATCTGATTTTTAATGGGCGGGGCCTATGATTGTTAAGTCACAAAAAGTTTGGAAGTCAGTCCTGGTCTAATATACAACTTATACAGTGTGATGTAAATCTTGAAGCCACCAGTGCGCAAACACTGAAAATGGACTTCACACGTACATGCTCACCTCCGTCGCCGTGAACATATCTTTCATTCAGTTGTGATTATACAAAATGACATTGCATAGCCAATAGCCCTTGTTGGTTTTTAATACTTTTCAGGGTGTAAGAGATGGAAAACGGCACATGTAATGATGTGGAGGCGCTTTGGGAGAAGGTGGAGTGCAAACGTTATGAACTGTGTCGCATCATCTCCCCGGCAAAGCTCACCCCCTACCTCCGCCAGTGCAAAGTCCTGGATGAACAGGATGAGGATGAGATCCTCAACTCCATGCTGCTCGTCTCCAAAGCAAACCGCACAAGTAGGTAGAGGGATGTGGGGTTTTTTTTGTTATGTATTAGTCATAATATCTTTCATGCAATTGATTCATTATACAACAACTTTGCTGCTATCAGGCCGTCTACTTGACATCCTCCACACTAAAGGTGAGCGGGGGTATGTGGCATTTCTGGAGAGTCTGGAGTTCTACTACCCTGACCTGTACAAGCTGGTCACAGGGAACGATCCCACACGGCGCTTCTCCACCATCGTAGGTGAGACTGACACCTTTGGATGCAGACACACGCACATATATGCATGGACACACAACTTTTGAGTTTGACTCATAGGGGTTTTAACGGGCAATATACTGTATTTCTGAACTGAAGCAACCAATACAGCATGCAGACTTTTAATGTCTTTATGTTGAGATATTTGCATCAAACTAAGCAACAAAAAGTGCAATCTTATTGTAGAGTAGATGGTGTATGATATCTGGGATGTGTCTTTTTTTCTCCTCCTCTCCCCACTGCAGTGGAGGAGGGTCATGAGGGTCTGACCCAGTTCTTGATGAATGAAGTGATGAAGCTGCAGCAGCAGTCCAAAGTCAAGACCCTACAGCATGTAGAGCTCAGCAGAAAGAACTGCACCCTGGAGGATGAGCAGAAGAAGCTACGGCTGGCAAATCAGGAGCTTCAGGCCTTCCAACAAAGTAAAAACACATGTTATTATTTTAGATATGTTCTGACCATGGCATGCAAGCTACCCTCCGTCTGTGTTTCTCTGATAAAATCACTGTTGATAGATCATCAAATGGATCAGATATCAAAGGGTTGAACATTAAATTTAAATCAAAACTGCCATGTACTGAAACTGCTACCCCACCACATATACTTGGTTTACCCTGCTCGGTGCACCACAGTTGGGTTTATTAAGGCCAAGTTGCCAATCACATTGTCTACCAAAGCCTATTCATGAAACTAGGACACTGTGGTATTTGTTATCATGTCCTGTGAAGTTGAAATCTGCAGCTGTTACACCAAGCACAATAAATCCTCCAAATATTTTGAGAATGCTGTTCAGACTCATGTCTGTCTGACAGACTTTGTGTGTGAACTTAAATGAGGAAGAAACAGTCGGCAAGGATACTTTGTTGCAAATTTCCTGGTCACGGTGAATTTGCTATCCTAAAAACCACATCCGTGCCTACTGAAATTTTCAACAAATTTCTAAATAATATGGTATGACCTGACTCGATTCCTTTTAATATGTCTGTATTCATTTCATTTATTATAAAATAATAGCTGCTGTGCAGCCCTTTAATAAATTACTGAAGGCTTGAAATAAAGATCCAAAATACAGTCTTTTCTGTGGTCACGCAAGCCAGCAGGAGCTAGGCTAGGTAGCTAGGCCTGTCTGTGTTTGTTAAACTAAGGCCTAAAAGAGAACAAGGTTCATACTGCATCTGCGTACTGTGTTTATTTACAGAGGCTAGTTGGTTGAATTAAAATTACTCTGACATTGTGGCTAAATGTGTTAGCAGTTGAGCTTGCTATCTTATGAAAGACAGGGGATGTGACTGGCTGAAATGTGAGGCAAAACCCCCCTGTCATGAAAAGTGACATTATGAAATGAAAACATACTTTTCAAAAAAAGGGAATTTTGAATATTGATATCCAATACAATTATAACATTAAATGAATGATGTTATATATAAATATATACCTTTAACCATAACTCTTTCATACATTTAGCAATGATTCTCCAATGATTATCTAATAGTCCTCATGTACAACTGTATAAATGACTATGGTTGGTTCTCCAGGGTACAATAAGTTAAGAGAAGAGAGAAACAGCTACAGCGATGAGCTGCTGAGGGTGAAGGATGAAAACTACAAACTGGCCATGAGGTACGCCACGCTGAGCGAGGAGAAGAACATGGCGGTGATGAGGAGCCGAGACCTGCAGCTGGAGGTACTGATGGATGTGTGGACGCATTAAAACACACTCACTCACTCTCAGCTTCAATCTAATACCTATAAGTCATTATTCACTCTGTGTCCCCTCTGTATGTACAGATTGATCAGCTGAAGCACAGGCTGAACAAGGTGGAGGAAGAGTGTAAAATGGAGAGGAGGCAGAGTCTCAAGTTGAAGAACGACATTGAGAACCGCCCAAAGAGAGAGCAGATCTTTGAGCTGGAAAGAGAGAACGAAATGCTCAAGATCAAACTACAGGAGCTGCAGTCCATCATACAGGTACGGCCTGCCTGAAACACACGCAAACACAGCAACTGAAATCTCAACATTTCCTGTGGATGGTAAATTGGTACAAGAAGACCTTTTGACTTAATGCTTTGGCCTTTATTTTATTAGGATTTGCAGGAACAAGACCAGCAAATTACATTGTACAAAGTATTTTTGCAGTCAGTTCACTGCAGTTGTTTTCAGTGCAGAAACAACTGTTAGGTATTTGTATTCTTTAACATACAGCATGTAAATACCTGCAACGGTTTTACAGTCTAAACCTGTATTAACTGATTTTTTGGTCACTTCAGGGCAGTGCAACAAACTGTAAAAATGTTGATATGCCTAACATATCTAACATGTCAGCATTTGTGTCTGCATTAGCATTTATTTGGAGTCATATTTCTTGCTAGCCAACTTATGTAAGTCCAATATCCCCATCTCATTGTAGCTTTGTTTTGGTCTCCACCAACTCCTCAGATATGGCTCCTTTGCTGCTAAATGCTCCACTATGTGCTATTTAGTACAAATGATCCAGCAGCCAGTTATACAAGGTTCATACCCAACAATGTGTGTATTTCTTTACACACAGCCTGGCCCCCTACCTGCATCAGACAAGGCCATCCTTGATATTTTGGAGCATGACAGACAGGAAGCACTGGAAGACAGACAGGATCTGGTCAACCGCCTCTATAACCTCCATGAAGAAGTCAGACAGGCAGAGGAACTACGAGATAAGGTAACAAACACACGACAAACACACAAGCAAATACGTATCTACACAGAAGATAAGATATGTTAGATAAGTGGTCACGTGAGTGGTCATTTTTGTAGTGTGTCATTTTTTTGGCTCTGAATGTGAAACAGCTGAATGTAAAGGAACTAGCAACACACAAAGGTTACCTAAAACACACCCTAGAAACACAAACCCATGACCAAAGAGCCTAATGCCCATGAGACCATCTGTGAACCACCCTGCGCAGAAACCCCCTCTCTCTATGTAACCTGGTCTTTCTTCTCTCTCCTCTGTGTTTCTCTTCCTGTATCTGCCTTTTCCTTATGAACTATAAATAACTCCACACGTGGTGTCTCTGTCTGTGTCTGTGTTTGTGTGCGTGTGTGTGTGTGTGTGTGTGTGTGTGTGTGTGTGTGTGTGTGTGTGCAGTACTTGGAGGAGAAGGAGGATCTGGAGCTGAAGAGCTCCACACTGCAGAAGGACTGTGAGATGTATCGCCACCGCATGGACACCATCACCATCCAGCTAGATGAGGTGGAGAAGGAGAGAGACCAGGTGAAAGCACGCATACATCCAAACACACATATTTTTTTGCCATTGTGGATTTTGACCATTTGCAATTTTGACCTTGTTTGTGTGTATTTATGAATAGGAAGGATTGTTGTTGTTGTTTTGTTGTTGACTTCCACTCCCCCTGGTACAGGCTTTTCGAGCCAGAGACGAGGCCCAGCACCATTTCTCTCAGAGCCTCCTTGACAAAGACAAATATCGCAAGCAGATCAGAGAGCTGGAGGAGAAGAGCGATGAACTCCATATCGAGATTGTACGCAAAGAAGCCAAGCTAGCCACCTTGGAGTCTCGCCTTCGACGGCTCTCCAAGGACAGTGTTTTGGACCAGGTTAGACCCAGGGAGTCAGTGAGTGTACATGATCAATGTTCAGCTAGCACATATTTCCAATGTCAAATTTTGACACATTTGCATATTTTAATAATTTTTTTCCCTTTCCTATTTTAGCAGAGTTTGCCAAGGGACCTTCCTCCGACCATTATCTCTCAAGGGGAGGGGTTTAAAATTCAATCAGAATGGTCCAGCGATGAGTCGCCAGAGGATAAGTTCTCGCCTCGCCTCAAACGAACCAGACCAGTGGTCAGCCACTTTCCGCTACTCATACTTACTTATTTATTTACTTCTTGGACATTATGGCAAAGGCCAGCGCACATATTTATCAAAATATTTAATATATTAATTACACTATTATCTTAAAGTCTAAATTTGCTGCTGGTTATGTGCAGGTATTGCAGTGTGGGACACATAAACTCCCAAGCCTGTGGTGCACTGTTCTATGAATAGTAATAGTATAAATAGAAGTTCCTGACTAAACTATAATTTGTGGTAGTATTATTATACGTCGCTGATTGTAAGGCATTTGCATAAGTTACAAATGGGCTTCTTAGAACTTGTGCAAAAAAGGTTTTTTAGGCGCACTATTTTCTATGAATCAAATGTAAGCACATTGCTCATGTTCAAGTTCACTCGTTACAATACAATGCATTGAAATGTCAAAAATGGCGCGAGATTTGGACATAAAATTTAAAATGCCCGACTTCCGGTTGGGATTAGGATATGGCTCCAAGAGGCTTTTTTGTACATCTTGACACGATACATGGGCCGATCTCTTTCCATACATACCGATAAAACAGGGCACCAGAGCTGCGTCTTTAAAATTTTATAGGGCTAGCCATTACAGTCAATGGCCAGGGAGGAATTGTATGGTATGTTGTCAATAGAAAGCTGTGAGTGAGAAATGTTTAACAGTAACTAAAATACTATTATTTATTTAGTATTACTATTTTTTGTATTTTAGAACAGAGTTAAGTCTCCAGTCTGTGTACCCAAAGACCTTCCCATCTCAGAGTCCACTCAACTTGCAGGTAACACACATATAGTTTACTCGTATTCCACCATAGCAATGACATTTTCTTTGTTTGTTCATCCACATTTGTCTCCAACTTTCAGCTCCGTCAGTCAACGGAGGAGATTGTCTGGAGATCCAGATGCCAAACTCCAACATCCACAGCAACTCCCTCCCTCCCTCACCCAGCTTCCCGATGTCCCCCACATATCCACCCTCCTCAGCTCCCCCGCACTCCTCCTCCTTCTCCCCATCCCCATCCCCCTCGCCACTCCCATTCACTCTAGTGGAACAGCCCAACAGGTCAAATATGGTGAGGTCTACTCTGTTCTGTGTTTGCTAAAAAATACAAAAAATGCTGTATTATTTCCATCGAAGCCATATACATTTCTGAGTTCTAAAACATTGTTGACTTGACAAACTTGAGTTTCCGAGTCTAAAATTGGAACTTCTGCTTGATTCTCTTGTGAAATCACCAGCTGCGTTACCGTAACGACAGCATCCTGTCCACACTCCCCGAGCCGCCAGAGAAAGCATCGCTTTATCGCAGAGAGAGGGAGAAGGAACATGATTTCAACCCCCGCAGGTAGTCACTGCCCCTATTAAATAATGTGTGTGTGTCAACTAACTAATTAATTAGATGTAGATGGTTGGGTGCCACATTATATAATTCTTTTTTTTATGAATTTGGGCTGGTTTGTGTTTAATTTCTTGTTATGAATGGCTTCAAAATAGTCTGATGTTTGGTCTCTTGTAGCCTCTCGGACTTTGATAGTGACAACATGGAAATGGAGTTTGGTAAAGTATACTTTTACACATTGCCCAAAATGTTCTTTCTAATGGTGTTTTTTGACTGTATTTATCTTCTCTTTATTAATCTCTCTGTCTCTTTCTCTCTATCCCTTCCTTAGAGGACGAAGGGCGTGGTCCACCTTCTGTCCACTCATCTTCCTCGTCCCATCAGTCAGAAGGGATGGACACTTACGACCTGGAGCAGGTCAACAATATCCTCAGGAAACTCTCTCTGGAGAGGTACAGTTCAGACCTTCGTGCACTCACATGCACAAAAATCAATCACAAATCAATCTTACAACTTTCAAACATTCAAACTGTGTGAATTTATACTTCGGTGTGCAGGCCGTTCCGTCCGTCTCTGTCCTCCTTCTCAAGGATCAGCTCTTCCCTGAAGCCAGTGCAGGAGCTGTCATTGCCGGGCGACAACCTGCTGAAGGACATCTCTCTGATTGGCGGCAATGAGAGTGGGATTTTCATCACATCCGTCCAGTCAGGCTCCATTGCTGAGAAGGTGGGGCTACGAGAGGGCCACCACCTCCTGTTGGTATGTAGTTTTCTCACTGCACGGGTTAAAATCCAGGTTCACACGGGCTGTAAGATGACTAAATGTTTAGTGAGGTTCATTTTTGTCCAATTTAAACCTCTGGCTGTACAAATAGAAAAGAATCAGTCAGAACCTAGAACATAAAGTGTAAGAAATGCAGAGGCCAAAATGCATTTCTACCATCAAAAACCCTTTATTCTTTATATTTTCTTTGTTTTCTTGTTTGCTTGTCCAATTATAGTATTATCTTTAATCGACTGACCAAAAAAATTCCATAAAACACCTTAAGCATAAATGATTTAGTCTCTCGTTTATCTGTCTTGTGCTATGATTGGCTGACCAGCTTGAGGGATGCATACGTGGGGAGAACCAAAGCATTTCATTGGATACCAGCACTCAGGAAGAAGCCCACTGGACTCTGCAGCACTGCTCTGGACCAGTCAGGCTGCACTATCGAGCCAACTATGACTGTAGGTGTTATCTCTAAGCGTATATATCTGTTTGTGTAATTCACTGTATACATTATACAATATACTGTGCATGCAAATTAAAATGTGTGTGTGCTGTAGCCTTCCGTCGTCTGCAGAGGGACCTGGCGGAGGGCACGCTGGCTTCTGGCGACTCCTTCTACATACGGGTCAACCTCAACATCTCCGGCCAATCAGACAGCTGCTCTCTAAGCGTGCGCTGTGATGAGGTGGTGCACGTGCTGGACACCAGGCACCAAGGCCGCTGCGAGTGGCTGTGTGCTCGTGTCGACCCTTACACCGGCTCTGACCTGCCTGACCGTGGCACCATACCCAGCAACTCACGGTACAGAGAAGTTCTTTTAAAACTAACAGCAGTGACATTGAGACTGAGAGATAAAACCTAGGTTTTGGATATCAGGGCCGCACGTTTTAAGCACAAGGTACAAACCCAGCGTGGTGTCAAACAGAATTTAAATGCTGGAAGTAACTGAGTACCATGCATCTGTTCTGCTTTAGTACTACAGGATCCTGAGCGTGATGCAAAAGTGATGTAACGGTTGAGCAACCATGCAAAGTTTAGGAGGGGTCTTGAGGGGTTCGCTTTCAGGATGCAAGGCATCTCTGATCTCCCCAACACAGCAGAGACATCCAGCCACACACACAAACACACAGTTCAAACCTCTGAACATTTTCACACCCGAGTCCCACAGTCTGTTGTTGTCACCAAGAAACACAGGAAACTGCTTGACATGAGGACAGACTCTTTTTTAATGATACATGTTGTTTTTACTTTTTTAACTGCGTTAAATTCATGTCGATCTTAAAATTCAATTTGAATTTTATGAAGACTTGTGTGTGAATCTGTGTGACTGAAGGGCCCAGCAGCTGCTCCTGGTAAAGATTCAGAAGTTAGTGTATCGAGGGGGAAAAGAAGAGAATGATAGCCACCGCAACAGTAGGGTAAGAAACTTTCAGAACTGTTTTCTCTTTTTGTTTTAGCAACAATTATACTATTTACTTACTATTTTCATAAATGTGTAGCTCAATTTACAGCCAGAAGAAGCCAGCCCCTCTCCTGATCCTAAAGCCAGCCCACGCTTGTCAAGAGCCAGCATCTTCCTCACTCAGATACTACAGGTAATGAAGTGCAAACAAAACCTCCTGTTGTTGAACAAGTCTTTAGTCTCTTCAGGGTAATGGCGCACCTGTGCCACAGCCTTCAGGCTCAGATAGCCTGCGCTGAACACACTGAAACATCATACTTAACTTCATCAAAAAATATGTATTTTATAATGAATAACTTACACCCCATAGCCTCTAATTCCAGATGAATAATTTTGTCTCACTATTGCAAAGTGGTAGCCATTTTACAATTGCAAAACAATATCAAAACACGTACATTTCTGCAGAAATATTGTAGGTGGTGTCTTGATTAGCCCACACTGACTAGCATGATGTTGTGGGGTAACTAAGAAGTAAGACGTTATTATGAATAATTTAGGAGTTTCACGGCAAGATGTTTTCCCCACTTAGAATTATTGATAATATGAAAGTATTCTGACAACCCTGGTACTGGTAGGCCGCTATTTTCCTAAAATGAATGTGCAGCATTACTGAACAAAGCAGTACAGCTAAGACGACTCCAATAACCCTTTTTTTGTGCCTGTTTTGGTTCGTAGTTTGTCAGCAGGGTGGATATCAAGTATAAGAGGATGAACAGCAGTGAGCGTGTGAGGATAATCAACTCAGGCAGCACAACACTACCCAGACAAGGTTTTGAGACGCTTAGACCAGAAGGTGAGTACAGAGTGAGCCTGGGGAACAGAACTCAAAATGAGCAACCAGAAGAAACATCTAGAAAAGGCAAAAACTAAAATCTGAAAAGACATTTATGTGGGCATGCTGCTTAAAATTCACACTCGAAACTAGTTCATTACCAGCAAGTTTCAGTTTAGGTGAACTGAATGAAGTTGGAAGTGTACATTCATATGTAAGCTCTGAAAGGTTTAAGTGAAAGTGCTGAAATAACTGTTAAAATGTCAGTTGACATATAACCAGTGAAAGCAGATGAATTGTCAATTGATGTGTAAGTGGTGAAAATAGTGGAAACTTCAGTTGAAGTGGAAGTGCTGAAGCGTGTGCAGAGGTGGCAAAAGTACATATGTTCTTTACTTAAGCAGAAGTACAGATACAGGTAGAAATACTGCTTAAACTTCTTTACTCAAGTAAAAATAGAAAAAGACTGAAAAAGTATAAAAGTAAAAAGCATGCTCTTGGTTTTCTTTGAAGGACATTTCTACATGCTGTTTCTGTAACTGAAACTTCAAAAAGGGTTGAGTCTTCCTCTCTTGTCTTTTTCATCTTGTTATAGCGTTTTTAACATGTTACGCCTGCACCAGTCTTGATGTTAAGAAGGCGTGCATTGATGCAAAAAGAATAATAATAATACTAATGATCAGTAATTTAAACAAAAGTAACTAGTTTTTTGAAAATGTAGAAAGTACAGATTTGAATTAAAATGTAGGGAGTAAAAGTAAAAAGTTACCTGAAAAACTACTTGAGTACAGTAACAAAGTATTTGTACTTTGTTACTTCCCACCTGTGAGAGTGTGTACTACAAACAGATGAAATATCTGCTGAAGTATGAGATCTGACATCTAAAAATCAGTTCAAGTGCCACATTAACATGTAACAGGTGAAGGCAGATGATGTTCCATTTAAAGTGTAAGTTAATGAGATGGCTTATGTATTTTGTGCAATACACACCAATGTAAAAATCTGAGAAGGTCTAAAGGGAACAAAAAAAGATGTCAAGATGTCTCCTACTTCACTGTAGTTCATTTTTCAGTGTATGTGCACGGGTGGCTTCAATTTTCTACATCACACTTGTATGAATTGCATACTGTACCAGGACTGACTGAAATCATGTTCATAGGCCCCGCCCTTAAACTCAGATTTTCTAAGAGCACAGAGAAACTTTCCACATTCAACAGATGAATGTGAAAACATCCTTCTAGTGTCAAACTCTGCACATACATCATTCTGCACAGTGAAGATTAAAGATCCAACTGTAGGAACAACAAGTAAAACATATTTCTCAGTGGAGAGGGACTTTAAACAAAGTGCCTTTTGCGTAAATATTCAGTCTGATGGTTTAAGGTGTAAATATATATCTTGAAAATGGGTTAGCTCAGACTAATTTCCTGCTGAGAGGATTTATATAGTTAATCTGGTCAGTAACCTAGCTTGTGGAGCTTTAGGCCTCCTTGTCTTCCTACCATTGCATGTTCATCTTTCTATGTGTGCTGTCTTGGCTGTAAACAGACGCTGCCGACCCAGACAGTGAGCTAAGCAGGAGTTTGAACTTGATTCCGTACAGTCCTGTCACCCCCCAGCGGACCCAGAGGAAAAGACCAGTCCTATTCACTCCCGCTTCTCTAGCCAAAACCATTATCCAGAAAATACTGAACTTGGGGGGAGCCATGGACTACAATATCTGCAAACCAGGTCAGTGTGTGATGAAATATTTCCACCTTATTGGCACAATCCCAGTGTTTGCACCTATTGTGAATCACAGATAGAGGAGATGGGAGGAGGAGAGAGAAGGGAGCTACTATTGGGATTCAGGTCAGGTATTGTACTGCGGTGTGGTGTAAATGTTAATGAGTGTAACCGGAGAGATGGCGGGGCAGGATGGAAGATGGCCTAGTTGATAATTAGGATGATGCATGATGATGATGCTGATGATGACAGTGACACAGAGGTGTTTACATCTGCATATAGGGATATTTCAGACGTTGCACCCTTTGTAAATCAGTTGACTTCCTGTAATGTGAAGCGTTTTGGTTGTACTGTCAGGCCCACAGGGAATTAACTTTCCAGTCCCATGACAGACCAACTGCTCCCAGGACAGGGGGGTCAGACAGGTTACTGGTTGAACATCTGGCAGAGACACAAGCCTGTGACATGTCTTGGTTACGTGGAGAGTCCCTAGGGCAAAAGACTCAGAAGTTTCTGTTCCTTCTGTTGTTAATGTGCTGTGTTGAATAAGATCAGTTTCTCAACATTTCTCTTTCTATGCTATTGTATTTGACTCTGTTATCTACTGTTTAGACACCCTGTCCAAGGAGGAGTTCCATCTGAAACAGAATGTGGAGCCCTTTATTCACTACAAAGAGAAACACGCCACATTCGAATGCATCACCCGAGAAAACATAGAGGTGGTCGCTGCTAAGGTAGGCTATAATTCATGAGTATGCGTATGCACCTGCCTTTCTCTGCGTATGTGTCTCCTCATAATGAAACTTTTGCACCTAATGGAATAGTTTTAAATACCACTCTTAACTCTGTATGGTTAATAGCTGGAGCCAGCACCACATTAGCTATACATAAAGACTGGAAACAAGGGGAAACTAACATTACAAGCCTCGCTTTGTCCAAATGTTGGTTTTAATTGATGAGCTTTAATGTGCTGGTAGGTGGATTTTGTTACAGTTTGAAAGGGCAAGGCTAGCTGTTTCTCCCTGTTTCCAGTCTTTGTGCTAAGCTACGCTAACTGTAGCTGGCTTTAGCTTACTGTACAGACATGAAAATAGTGTCGATCCATTTATCTCTTTTGAACACAGCAAAGAGACGTATTTCCAAAAATGTTGAACCATTCCTTTTTTTCTTTTTTAGGTTTCTGTACGTCACCTTATTCACATATTTACTTTTGTTGTTGTTAAATTCATAGATTCATGCATGAATTCATTTTTTGTCTGTCTTTGGCCAGCAGAAGAGAAAAACATGGCAAACATTTTGTTTCTTTTATTAGATCTGATTAAGCAGTCAAAACGCCTTCTAGTTTCATTGTGTTATATGTGAGGTGTTGTGTGCTTATCTCTGTGTTTAATCGTATCCGCATTACACAGATCTATATTTGTTTATAAAGCCCATTTTTTCCACCCGTCACCAGGGCAAACACTGCCTACTGGAGGCTGAGCTGAGCTGCGTCAAAGACCTTCTGCGGAGAGAAATCTACCCGATCATCATCTACGTCAAGATCTGTGAGAAAAATATCAAGAGGTTACGGTAGGCCTCTCAAACCTCACTTACTCTCACACATTTACATAGAGCCTCTTACCCGCAACTGCAAACCACAACCTTTTTTCCAAATGCAAATATACGTCAATCCTTGCTTGACATTTTTAATTCAAGCAGGAGATAAGATTGAACAAGCTAAAAGACAGGTCCACTGTTTGACTCTCTTAACCTAAGCATTTATGTGTGAGGTTTATCAGCAACCTGCAGACAATAGTTATGGATTTGAATCAGTGATAGGGTAGCTGAATAAGAACTTGTTCCTGTCCACAAAGGGGAGAATTAGACACCTAAGTAAAACAAAAAGTATGTCCAGTGGCTGCATGATTTCAGTGGCGGTACAAACTTCTGTTTCTCAGTGTATGATTGCTCTAACTATTGGCGAGTGTCAACAAACCCCGATGGGTGACGTGTTTTCTGGTGGATTGTTCCTTTAAATAGACAAATCGTACTTGAACCTATTAATGTCAGTGTAATCTTTCCGAGAATTACAACAAAGTTCAAAAGCCGCCGCTGCAAAGTGTCTACAGGATCTCATCAGAGATACTGGGTTCCAAACATTACCACACTCACCACCACAGTGCTGCTTCCTTCCTGTTTCCTGTCCACACAGGAAGTTTCCTCAACGCGTGGAGTCGGAGGAGGAGTTTCTGAGGTTGTGCCGGGCCAAAGAGAAGGAGCTGGAGGGCATTCCCTGCCTCTACAACAGCCTGGAGCCCGACTCCTGGGCAGGAACGGACGACCTCATCAAGGTCATCAAAGACCGCATACAGGACGAGCAGAAGAAGACAGTCTGGGTGGAGCAGGACCTCCTGTAGACACACACACACACACCAGCACAGATACACACAACGGTCTGTACATAAAGATAAACATGTGTAGCTGAGCACCCCAAACACACCTTGTACATCATGTTTCTATGCATATTATTATATTTATGCTCAGACTCAAAAATGTGGACACTGTTTTAGACTTTAAATAAATGCATTATTATATATTTTGTAAATGTGTGCCTTTCCTTTCCTTTAGATCAATAAACACATGGAAAAGATCAAAAAGGGTAATCTTTTATTTATAAGTTAAACATTTAAAAGGGTTCAAAGTGCTGATCCTACTTAACCTGGAGTATACTGACCTCTAGTGGCTGGTGTCATACATCAAATCATACCAAACCTTTTATTTATTTATGTTGGATGTCTTTTTCAGTTTTTTATGCTCCTCCTAAAATGATACAGAAATATAGTTTACATAAAAAAATAAACCCATACAGGGTCCCTTGGTAGAGCTAACACCCCATGTAACCAACCAGGCTCAAGTCAAGTCTGGCATTCAAAACCTCACTTAAATAAAAGTAATATTATCAGCAAAATGTACTTAAGGTAACAAAGTAAAAGCACTCATCATGTCAGTGTTTTACTAGTATATGTGCTGTTTTTGGATTAATATTACAGCTGCATTTATGAGTATGTTGCATTTTACTGCTGTAGATGTTTTAACTACTTCAGATACTGTTGTTTAGTTTTATCTACAGCGATGCATCATATTCTGTAAGATTATCATCATAGTTCTCCTACTGAGTAAATTATTAAAAAAAAAAAAAACTTTTGCTGCCCTGTGAGAAACCATTTATTTAAGTCAACTTTACATGAACTGAAGAAAAACAGTCTGTTATCAGCTCTGGGGACAATACAATGCTTTTTCCAGTTAATCCAAAGGGGGTTTTAAATAATTTATTCAGTTTAAGAAGTAGGAGAATTTTCTCAACTCATAAAGGAACACTTTTGGGTTCATCACAAGCATTTAAAATCAACGCATGTACAATAATTAACTCAACATTAATATGAGTTGTTGGCTGGTTTAAGTCTTGTTAGTCTTTTAAAAAGGCTGCTGTTCAGGTTTGTTTGCAGGTTCCATTCATGTGATTTGAGTTTTTGGTGTTGCTACTCTTTTATTTTTATTACGTCATGAATTGGGCCTTTGAAGCTTGGATAATCTTTGCACTGCAGCTGTTCATTGACAGAACTGTATTTCATTGAAATATGCAGTATTTGGAGTTTTAAATTGCCTAACCGTCAACAAAATACCATCCAGGCTCACTCATTAAAAAACTCAGACTTGGACACAGAGTTCACTCAGCATTATTATCTAGAACCCAGTAATGGGCTCCGCTCACTGGTGATTTCTACCGATTATAATTCAGCGTTTTTCAAAGGACACCAGAAGGTTCAATTTGACAAAAATGTGCAGGCCAGAGGGGGATTTAGAGTAACCTCTTTCATAAGGGTGCTGGATAATCTCATCATCTGCGGGGACAGACATGGATACAGCAATATGCAGCATTCCCAAAAATGCTGCTGTACTGTGGCTACTGTCACCATTTGGTAAACTGTAACACTCATTATCAAAAGTTATAAAATACATACAAGTAATACATATATTAAATATGGTGAGTATAATATGATTATAGCCAAAACTATATATTTATCAAGCTGGTGCCAACTTTTTCATCATCCATGCTTTTCCTTCTGTTGTGTGTGTGTGTGTGTGTGTGTGTGTGTTGTGAGGTGAATCAGCTGCTCTGTGGGGGCTCCTCGCTACGTTTGATGTCACAGGATGAATAGAGTTCACAAATAACAGGATTTTTTAAGCGCATCAGCCCGAGGCCACAGAAATAGACGCAGATCCCCACCGCCACATCACCTTATCATCCTTCTCTTGCTCTAATTTTCTGAGTGAAGATGACATTTGTTTTTGCAGGTACAGCAGGTTATTTTCTGCACGCGGTCCCCCATGTGGGAGGGAACAAGGGAGGAGGCGTGGGGGAGCGAAACTGTCTACATAAATCATCCCAGAGTAGAGACATGTTGTGCTGGAGCTGACCCAGAAAAGTGAATTTTTCCCTCTCATGAGCTCACTCTGCAGAAACCTCAGCCAGCGAAGTCTCGCGGTATTTCGCGTGCTCCCGCTCCATCTCATCTCATCAGAGGCAGCTGACGCGGCGCTGGGAGCTCGCGGCCACAAAAAGAGGTGAGAAGGTGTTGTTTTGTTTTTGTTTTTTAAAAAAAAAAACCTCGTCTTTTTTTGTTATGAACAAGAAATCTTTAAAAGTAACAAACCCGTTCACTTCTGAGTAGCGCCAACATTTTCTTTATTAGCATGCACCTTTGCTCCACTGCTGAGCGCTACTTGGACACCTAGATACCGCTGTAGGCACCCTGACAGCGTATATTGATACAAACCACAGGCTGTACGGAAGCTCCGGGGCTTCTTCTGCTAACTCCGCATTGTCTACACGTTAATTCGGTGAACCGCGCGACGCTTTTAACGGAGCGAGCCTCATGCCCAAAAGCCTCCCGGTGCGAGGAACAGCCCGTTCCCGCGGCGCTGCTCTCCCGTCAAAGGCTACATTGTGTCCGGTGGTCTGGCATCCGCTGGCGGCTGCTGCGGACAGGACGGTGGGATTTATCTGTCGCTGGCTCTTTTAATGGCTTTTATCTTTCTTGTTTACACAGCTGGCGTGACACCGCGGTGGTCGTGGGGGGTTGGTAAACACAAACAAAACGTGGACGAGTTTGGAGGTAACTCATCATTAATATGTGGTGATTAATAACCTTTCCTGACACGAGCTGGACGTGTAACGTTACGTCCAAAAATAGTTGTGTCAACACAGAAAGGAGCGTGAACCGCGGACGTAGACATTTTAATTGGTGTTTCTTCTCCACGTCTCCAGATATCGATTCAATGCTTCCGCCTACTGTCCACACAGTACTCAGTATTCAGATACTTTAGTAATACATTACTGTAATACTCCATTACAAGTATAAACAGTATATCTGCCCAGTGCAGAAACGTGCCTCCGGTAAGAGTAATTGTACTATATTATATAATGTGTTTATGAGTTGCAGTGATTAGTTGATTAATGAATTAGTCAATCAGGTCATAAGGATTAATTGGCAACTGTTTTGATAATTAATAACTAATTTATTCATCTTTAAGTCATTTTTTAAAATGCCAAACGTTTGAGGCTCTCAAGTGTGAAAACTTATATTATTTAATAATTAATAGTTTTAACTTTTGGACTTTTGCTTCATCATCATGTCAAGTTGTGCTACAGGATAATGTGATGAGAATTCTTTCATTATTTAGTTTCATTAACAGTTATTAATCAAGAAAATAATCAGCAGATTAATTGATAATGGAGATAACTGTTCATTGCAGCTGTACGTGTTAAGTTTTATTATACACATTGATGTGTAAGTAGCATTTTGTAGTTGGTTTGGGGTGGAGCTAATTGGAGCTAATTTTAACTATTTTATATACTGTTGAATAGTGTAAGCCAGACGAATGTGTCACATTTGATCCTGTTTCCTAATTAAAATCTAAAACATACAATATTTCACTCTGAATTTGAGTGGAGCTGCAGTAAAATGGAACTAACCTAATTTATTGCTATAGTACACATTATAGGGCGGCAGTAAATGTGTCGGAGCGTAGAGAGGGAGAGGATTGTAGTCTGCCGCCTCTGGAGAGTGGAATGATGATTTTCCATGTCAATGGTCCCTCTTAGCTTCAGGAAAGAGGAAATAATATGAGGACTGTTGCACGAGAGCTCCTTATTTAGAAGAGTGTTGGAATGGAAAAGTCACGCCCTGCGACTTTTAAACTGTACAGGAAGGAGAAGAAGATAGACCGGAGATAAAGCGGAATTTAGAAACGTATTGTGACTGAGATATGGTAGAACACATTTATCTTTCTGCAGCTCTCCGTAAAGCAATAGGCTGTTTTGTGCATTGCATGAGCACAGTAAGCTCCAGTGTGTTTTTCATGCAGAATGTACATCTTGGTTAGGTGTGTAAAATATTTGCAATTGGCCCCACTCTCAAACGTTGCAGCTAACATAGGGGCTTTTATTACTTCAGAGGTGCTCAGTATTAAAGTGTGCCGATGCTGCACCTAGTATGGGTACAGCGGGATACTTGTGCAATGAAAAAGTTAGTACTGTATGGTATGCAGAGCCCCCTGGCATGCAGACATTTGACAACCACTTGTGATTTTACTGCTGAGAGTGGGAGTAAAGTCAACTCAGAAATTCAGTTCATGCCAAGTGAAGCCCAGTAAACTGTCTCATTTTGCTCTTGTTTTCGAGCTGTTTTATTAACAGAGGAGCTGAAATACCTCACTCGCACTGGAGCAGTTCTTTTGTTTTTATTTTTGCCTTGAAATCTGTTATGCCTTTTGTAACTTAGGTACTCTAGGGGCTTGAACAGGAGGCTTTAAAAACACAAGGAACTCGTGCCTTGGTGTATTACTATACTTTACATTCAACCTGTTTTGTCATCATTGTCTTTGTTCTCTGCTCAACTCCCTGCTGTTTTGTGAGCTTATCTGTGTCAGTGTTTCTTCGATATGCTAACCAACGATGAGACAAGCCTGTAATCTGATTTTAGAAATGGAAGTGGTTATTTAACTCTGAGAACGATGGAATACACGACTGTGGTTTTTTCTCTCTCTGTGTCGTCTCTGTTTACAAGGTGCTGCAGGCATGGAGCGGAGGTGAGAGTTAATCCATGGATGGCCAGTTACGCTCCTGCAGTGCACCAGCATCATGATAAACTCCATCCTACCACACACTCTGCTCTAGCTGCCCTTTATCTATCGCCATGGTGAGAGAGAGAGCTCCTGGACCTTGAATCTGTTGCCATGGTGACCCAGTAGCAAGAATCCTTTAACTCCAATCTGTTGCCCTGGTGATCGCGTGAAAAGGACCCAGGTAACTATTTCAATCTGCTGCCATGGTGATTCTGTAGAGACGCCCTGTAAAGTCATAGTCAGTTGCTATGGTGATCCTGTAGCAAGCAACAGTCACCATGGGAACGTCCAGGATGTTCCGCATTTTTGTCGTCCTGGGCTCGGCCTTCATGATCCTTCTGATCATAATCTACTGGGACGATGTCGGAGCGTCCCACCTATATTTGCACACTCCCGTCTCGCCGGGTCCCAAAATCC